ATTTCCAGTAGAGATAAGGAGGTGTTAGTACTGTTATACAAGGCACTGGTGAGACCTCATCTGGAATACTGTGTGCAGTTCTGGTCTCCTATGTTTAAGAAGGATGAATTCAAACTGGAACAGGTACAGAGAAGGGCTACTAGGATGATCTGAGGAATGGAAAACCTGTCTTATGAAAGGAGACTCAAAGACTTGGCTTGTTTAGCCTAACCAAAAGAAGGCTGAGGGGGAGATATGATTGCTCCCTATAAATATGTCGGAGGGATAAATACCAGGGAGGGAGAGGAATTATTTAAGATCAGTACCAATGTGGACACAAGAACAAATAAAAACTGGCCATCAGGAAGTTTAGACTTGAAATTAGATGAAGGTTTCTAACCAGCAGAGGAGTGAAGTTCTAGAACAGCCTTCCAAGGGGAGCAGTGGGGGTAAAAGACATATCTGGCTTCAAGATTAAGCTTGATAAGTTTATGGAGGGGATGGTATGATGGGATAGCCTAATTTTGGCAATTAATTGATCTTTGATTATTAGCGGTAAATATGCCCAATGGCCTGTGATGGGATGTTAGATGGGGATGGGATCTGAGTTACTACAGAGACTTCTTTCCTGGGTGTCTGGTTGGTGAGTCTTGCTCACATGCTCAGGGTTTAGCTAATGGCCATATTTGGGGTTTTTCCTCCAGGGCAGATTGGCAGAGGCCCTGGGAGTTTTTTGCCTTCCTCTGCAGTGTGGGGCATGGGTCACTTGCTGGAGGATTCTCTGCACCTTGAAGTTTTTAAACCTCGATTTGAGGACTTCAGTAGCTCAGACATAGGTTAGGGGTTTATTACAGGAGTGGGTGGGTGAGATTCTGTGGCCTGTTGTGTAGGAGGTCAGACTAGACTATCATGATAGTCCCTTCTGACCTTAAAGTCTATGACGCTATATCCGACACGGGGATTCAGCAGAACCCTTCAGCACGTGCTTAGAGTCAAGCATGTTCAAGTCACATACTCAGTGGATGGGTCTCACTAATCTTTATCAAGGCAAAACACGCAGGAAGTGGTGATCAGTTACTCATAAGTGGGAAGTTCATCAGCATGATTTCATCACAGTCACCTCCAGCACTTCCCTTTGTTGTACAAACTTCTCTTTTCTTATACATATATATTAGTCTCTCATTTTCATGTTAACTCTCCTCCCCAACACTACAACCTTAGTGTTACTTTAAAACTGTATTTTTCTATTTTTTTAGGTTGTTGTTTTTTTTGTCATAAACATAATTACTTTGCAATTTCTTACACAGATGCAGTTCTACTTTTGCTTATCTTGTTAAATGTGGTTAGAACAGACCGGGGTCGGCAACCTTCGGCACGCGGCCCATCAGGGTAATCCGCTGGCGGGCCGCGTGACATTTTGTTTACGTTGACCGTCTGCAGGCACGTCCCCCCACAGCTCCCAATGGCCGGGAATGGCAAACCGAAGGTTGCCGACCCCTGGAACAGATTCATTCACAGCAGGCTTCTTTCAAGCCTAAATGTGCCTTCATTTCCAATACAGTCATTAAAGTAGATTAGAATGGGAGTTTGTGCAGGTTTTCGTATCTATCATCGCAGGTCTTGATGTAATTGTGAAGAAGTATGGTTGCTTGTGGCGATGATAAAAGCACATAGAAAAAGAATGGGAGCATAAGAACGAAACTCTGTAAGGTGACCGTCAGCCAAATAAAGTGCGTGTGAGAGAAAATAGCTTTTGTATGGACAAAATTTGTTTATTCTCCATACTTGTGTTTTCTAAATGTCTACACTTCCATCCTGCCTAAATCCCAGATTGGCACAAACATTTATTTTATTATTTGAGCTTAAAATATGTGGATACTAAACATGAAAAAAGTCAAAATGTTGACTTCCTGGATAGTCTAAGTTACTCATAAGAACAACTAGTGTTTGTAATAAAATATTGCCTTTGGCTGTATAGATACAGTACAGAGATGATGGAAATATGCTCAGTAAACAGTAACACTTAACCTCTTCTAAATCTTTTGTTCTGAAACTCTTAAATACTCTGTGTTGAAGTTAATTGATCCTGTGCCTGTATTCTCACTGGGGTCAGTGATCTGACTGTTATTTTAACATCTTCCCTTTCCCTGCCCCCAAATGTTAAGTAGTGGGAACTTTGTATTAGAGGAATCTTCCCTAAATTTTAGTTCGCCACTCGTAAGGTGAAACCCTGACTCTACTGAAGTCATTGGGATTTTTGCTATTGACTTCAATTGAGCCAGAATTTCACCTTGATTCTTTTGGTTTATTGGGTACTCCTCTGTTAAAAGAGGTCATTGAAACTTTATGTAGGAGATAAACCAGTGTTATGAAAATTAAAATTAAAGGGAATGATTAGCCTGTATCATTTTTATTCTCCTCAGTTTAGACACCTTTTTCATTACCAGTTTACACACTGTTTAATGCCTGTTATGACATAGTGTACTTCGAAAAGGAAACTGTATTAATATTCAAGGAACATGTTCTTAGTTGTGAAATAAATAGCAAGACTCACCTTGTGATTGCTCCAGAAACAGTTAAATGTTGTTTGAAGCTATATAAAAAGTACAACATTGTAAGTGCTGGGCTACAGGCCAGTTTGGGCTCCTGAAATAGGGCCATATGGAGATGGACCAAACTTCTCTGTCTGTAATTTCCAAGCAATTCTCAGACCATGTTGTAATTACTGATGTTAAACTATCTCAAGATACAGATTTTGCATCTTAATGTTAACAACATTTAAGAAGATACTTATAGTTCAGAGCCTGATCTTGCAAACATTTATTATGCACTGTAGTACTTGCTTACCTAATTGATCCCATTGACTTATTATGCATTTTTAAAGAAATTTCAGAGTAGTTGACGTGACTTCAATGGGGTTTTTTAGGCTAATATGGGATTGCACTTCAATAGGATTATTTAGGGTTCAGTAGTGAAGAGCTTGCAGCATCAGGGCCTTCAATGGCTTTTGAATCATTGCATGATCGAAATCAGCATCATTTATTTACTTTTATCCAATTTTGTAAATATAACATTATAAGATATTCATGTAATATGGGCCATATCATGCCATTAGGTTTTAAGGAAAACTCCACTGATTTCAGCTCCACTGAATGAGCTCTGCTTAAAAACAGATGATGTGAATGTATGTTAAGGCTACTACTACTTCTCTAGACACATTAATTTCAATAAAATAAAAAAACAAAGGAAAATAGCAGATAGTAAACTTACATTTATTGTCACCAAATCGTTGCATACCCTGCCTTCAATAATTTTCTTTCCTAAGTGATCTGTTATAGCCATTCCAGACATCTCAAAATCAAATCCCTGAGGAACTATACCTTCCACTCTAAGGCCCTTAGCCCCGTCATAAAGTTAGGCATGGGCTTGAGTCTTTGCAGGATTGGTGCTTAAGGTCCTATTGCTGCAACCTGATCTATGTGGGCAGGCCTTAAGCCTATATGGAGACTCATGGAGTCAATGGTATTGTGTAGATAAAAGATCTATCACGAAGATCAAATTGCAGGATCTGGGCCTCAAGTAGAAATATTTATGAAACTGACCTTTTCTGAGTTGGGTGAGGATGGGGGGAATTATTGCTAACATTAAAAAGCAAAAACAACAAACCCCACAGTAGCTGACAACTATGTGTATCTTTGTGATGTTACATATAAGATTGGCAGGATTCGATTTTTATTGATAAATGTTGATTTCACAGTATCCACACAAACCTAGGGGAAAATTTCCATCGATGATGATAATTAAGGTTAAGATTCTCTCATGGATATTTTCAATAAAGTCAGGGACAGGTCCTGGGCAATAAACAAAAATTCATCTGTCCCTGACTTTTACTAAAAATACTCTAGAGTGCGGGGACAAACCGAGCGCTGCTGGGGCTTGCAGCTGCTCCGGTCCTGCCGCTGCTCCTGGGGCATGGGCTGACCCAACCCCAGCCATTGCTCGGGCAGGCTCAGGTCTGGCCATCAGTCAGCTGTTCCAGTGGCCACTGCTCCGGCAGCCCCAGGTTTGACAGCTGCTCCAGCCCTGCCCCAGAAGAAGTCACGGAGGTTCAAGAAAGTCACGGAATCCAGGACCTCCATGACTGAATCATATCCTTAAAAATAATTGAAACTTAGGGTAGGTCTACACTACCCGGTAGTTCGGCGGCAAGCAAATCGAACTTCTGGGTTCGACTTATCGCGTCTTGTCTGGACGAGATAAGTCGAACCCGGAAGTGCTCGCCGTCGACTGCAGTACTCCAGCTCGGCGAGAGGAGTACCACAAAGTCGACGGGGGAGCCTGCCTGCCGCGTCTGGACCGAGGTAAGTTCGAACTAAGGTACTTCAAACTTCAGCTACGTTATTCACGTAGCTGAAGTTGCGTACCTTAGTTCGAATTGGGGGGTTAGTGTAGACCTGCCCTTACAAATAAGCGGAGTAAGAAAAATGGTGCTTGAGAACCTAGAGTTTGATTTAAGGCTATTTACTTTGTATATTTTCATGTGTGATGTTGACAATTTGTGTTTAACTGTTATAAAGTTTTAACTTTTTGAATCTTAATGTCTGCTGTCAGTAAATAATTGTCTGACTCTGCACATGATTTCCTGTAATTGTGAAAATTTAAATAAATAAAAATGCTTAAAATTCTGGGTTTTAAATACTTTTTTAGAACTGTAAAAATTTTAATTGATTAAAAATTGAAAGAATGCTTAAAAACAAACCAATATTATCCATAAAAATTATTTTAAAAAAAATTGAATTCTGCCAAGCCTAAATATATAATAAATACCTAGCTCTTATCTAGCACTTTTCACCATTACCCTCACTTTATAAATGGGGGAAACTGAGGCACAGATACTTACCCAAGGTCACCCAGCAGGCGAACGGCCGAGCCGGTAACAGAACCCAAGTCTCTCAAGTCCCAGTCTAGAGCTCTGTTTGTTAAGCCACAATGCCTAACATTTGTCCCCTTTTTCTTGGCAGGGTTACTACAAATTGAGTTGAAAACAAGAAAAACTTGCTTTTGGCGTCACCAGAAAGGAAAGCCAGATACGTATCTTTCTACAATTGAAGCCATTTATTATTTTCTTGTGGATTATCACCAGGAGGTTTTAAAAGAGAGCTACAAAGGACAATATGACAACCTGCTTTTTTTCTTTTCATTTATGTACACGCTGATAAAAAACGCCAAGAATTCTGCAGGAAAAGAATAAGCCAAGACATCTATTTGTCTGTAAATAGCACCATGTTTGTTTTTCTTCATCATAATTAAAGTGTAGCAATACAATTTTTTGTCTAAATGACATTTGAGAGTTCAATAATAAAACAATGTATTACACTCTGGAGTTGTCTGTAATGCTGCTCCAAATGCAAGAGCAGGATCTGGTTCTGTACACAATTGATGCATAATTTTAATCACTACTTGTTTCAATGGGGATGCGTATTCCTTAAGGGTTGCCAGTTAGGGCCTACTTTGTGAGTCTGACCCTGCAGTCCTCACCTTGGGTAAATCACAATGTGCCTGAGGCAAGGAATGGAGAATTAAGACCTCCTATTGGAAATAGTAAGATCTCAGGATTGTAAAGATGAGTTAATATGTCAACGTGGAATCTCTTTTCTAAAACATTGTAAAATGTAGTTCAGCTGATTACTGTGTAGGAATGTGCTCTAACCAATCAGGCTGACTTCATGCTGTTGATATCACAATTGCTTACTGAAATATTAGGACAATATTTCATCAGGGGGAAAAAAAATTAAAAGAGTTAGTTGACTGAATGGAAAACAAATTATAAACTTTGTTAGTTTTAAATAAAGCTGGAAAAATGATTTAGTAATACAGATAAAAATATAGGCCTAGATTCACAAAGCTACTTAGGTGGCGTGATGCTGAGCAGATGCTGGTAAAATTTTTAAGTGTAGACCAGGCCTAAACTGGCTAGATATTTCTGTCTTTGTCCTATGTTGGTGAGGGAGTCACAAATCTTGTAAAAGAGACACGAAAAATCATAATAGTTAAACTTTTTCAGAAATCTGTGAGTTTGTTTTAGTTGTATCTTTTTTTTTTTCCTCAGTAAACCTGGCTAATTTTCCATCTGCATCAGTCCTCCTCTCCCCTCCCAAAGGGGAGCCTTAGTATCCAAGGGCAAGTAAACAGCACTGTGAAAAAGGCATTAAGAATTTCTGTTTTTAAACTTGTATAGAATTTTGTTTGGGGCCATCAAACCAATTAATTGTTGTTTTACTGTTGTTTTAAGTGTACCAAAGTATTGAATTAATCACAATAAATAGAGCGTTAAAATACAAACTAAAGAGCCACTTTTTCAGACAGCTTCTAGCTAGTCTCCAGTTTTACATGTCCACCCAATTTCACTTCTTCAGGTAGGCATGAAAAAGATTTATTTTTTTTGCACGTGGAAATCACTCTGTGTACATACACAAAAGTGAAGGCCAGGACTGACCATTTGGCCCTAGGAGTAGAAAGATTTAGTTAGTATGCATGAATTAAAATAAGACTGTTCATAAGAGGCACAGAGTCAGCGTCAGAATGATAAACAGCATTTCAAATGTGATGGTGCAGCTGCTAAAATGAAAAGCAAGTTTGTGTGTATTTCTCTTACAGCAAGTCATCTCTCAGCTATTGGAACAACAGATTTCTTAGTCATTTGTTTTTATTGTTATTGAGAGAGGTTATTTGGCTTTTCACAATGATTAATGCTATTTCCTCTGGTATGAATTTTGATGGTCTTTTTGACATTTTCATCCGTACTTGTGTTTCTAAAACAAAGATTGCTTTAACTTTATGAAAGTCAAAGAAACGCTTTTTAAACAGTGTATAATAGTTTGAGAAGAAAAAACTTTCACCCATTTTAAACACATACAAAAAGTGAACTCAGTGACCTAATGTTTTACAAGAATCAAACAGAGGAGAAAATCTGTTTTTTTCTTCCAAGACATTTCCCTGAAAACATGTTTTTTTATTTAAACAGTAGAGGTCAGATAAAAGCTTATATAAGCTGGTCTTCGTTACTTTTGGAAAATACTTTCATAAGGTTAAAAACATTTTCCAAATGTAACTTTGGGTACCTCACTTTATTTTAAACAATGGGAGTTAAGAAGCTATTCCAAAAGTAAATTAATTTTTAGTTGTCAGATGAAATCAATGGCAATCAAAGGCAATATTTAAAATCTGGAACATTGACTCTCCAGAAAATTGGGTTCAGATTTTTTTTTTTCAAAATTAACTTTGCTATAAGGCTACACTAATTCTTAAACCAACAGAAATCACTCTTACAAATATGGGACACATCTAGGGTCCACATTATTTAAGGTCTATTGGCATTGCTCTGATAACCTTGTGTGGGGCCATGCAGAAGGTTAGTGTAACCACTGTTTCAGACCTGTTCTGTCTGAAACTTGGCTTTCTCCAAAAAAGATTTAAATCCATTATTTAAGTTGGAGACTGGCAAAAAAAGAGGCTCCTCAACCCACTGAAAAAGTATCATGGTCTCCAATAGATTTTCCAGCTTCCAACCAAAAGAAGAGCTTTGCATTGCCAAATGAAAGATAACAAGTATTTAATCCTTTCAAGTGGAGTTAGCAGCACTGACCGTGCTGTTAACTAAAATAAGGGTCAGGGGCTAAGGGCTAATTAGTTAAGGGCTAATTCTGGACCTATTTCTTAAAACTGGAATGGCCCCTATCTCATCTGAACCCAAAGAGAACCTCTCATCCACCTATGACATCACGGCAGGGAGGTACTAGGAGACAACATCTGGAGTGAGGGGAAAAGACAGGCTTAAACTTGGTCTAGCAGCATCCTAAAAGGTTTCAAGATACAGGAGTAAAAGGAGATGCATCCCTGTTTTCTGAACACAAGGCCATCTGCCCGCCTTAAGTTGAGGCACCTCTGGTATCTGAAGGGAACAGAGAGTTTGCCATGAGTAGCAAGTACAACTGTGGTGATAAAAGTGCAAAGAGCCATCTTACCTGTAGTCTGGTCCATTCATCTGCAGTGCTGGAATCCTGCTTTTGCCTGTGTCCTAAAAAAGATTTTGCCAGAAGTGGAGAGGAAAGTGGGTTCTCTTCCATGTTTGGTTAATAGGGGCACTAGATCCACTCCTGAATGTGGCTGTAGAAAGTTGTGAAAAGCTATTCCTTTTCCTGGAGAGAAGTACAGGAGTCACCAGTCTCAGGTTGAAGATGTGCATTCATCATTTTATTCTTAGATTTGAATGCTAGAAGGGACCATTTGATCAGCTAGTCTAACCACCCGGGTAACACAGTTCATAGAATTTCACCCAATTACCTCTGTGTTGAGCCCAATAACTTGAGTTTAACTAAAGTATCTCTTCCAGAAAGGTCTCCAGTCTTGATATCAAGGCATCAAGAGGTGGAGAATCCACCACTTCCCTTGGGAGTTTGTTCCAATGGCTAATCACACTCTGTTAATGTGCTTATTTCTAATTCGAATTTGTCTGGCTTAAATATTTAAAATGTCACCAAAGCTATACCTGTAATCCTCTTTTTTCCACTTATTTATTAAGCCTTCTGTAAGGGAGCCTTTAGCTTTTCCTTGTATTGGTAGTTTAATTGAAGGCACTACTCGACCATTTGTACTGCCAAGTGTGCTTATTATTTGTGCTCTTGACTAATTCGTCATGGATTTCTTCTCCTAACAGGAACTCAAGTTCAATCAGAATCTCTTCCTCGGATTGGTGAATTTCCTCCCAGAGTCTCTTAGTTTCCCTAGCTGCCAGTTCTCATTTAGTTGTGCCTCTTTCTGAATAAGCAATTCATTTTTCTGCTTCATAAGATCTTCCTTGGCTGTTGCAAGCACCTCTTTAATTTTATTTCTGTAACCATCTAAGATTGCACGGTAGTTCCTGTAGTCGGAGGATTTCTTCTTGCTTTTGTGTGTTCCAGTGAGCACAGGCCTTTGCCATCTCTGCTTTAACAGATGCAAGGACTCCTTTCTTTAGCTCCATTTCCCTTCTAAGGGAAAGTATATTCTCTTCAAGCTCTTTGGTTCTTGCTCCAGATTTGTTTTCTCAATTTTTTTCTTTCATTTCTCTTCAGCTGCTGAAAGAACTAGTGATAGCTAAAAAACACAACATATATATAAGAACCAAAGAGCTTGAAGAGAATATACTTTCCCTTAGAAGGGAAATGGAGCTAAAGAAAGGAGTCCTTGCATCTGTTAAAGCAGAGATATATATATATTTTTTTTAAAGATATGGTCAGCAAATGGGAGATGACCTATGGGGTCAAAAAGAGAGGGATGTGGCAAACCCTTGCCCTCTCCCCCCAAACATTTGTTTACTTATCTGATCCAAACCTTTTGTCTACCACCTGTTTCAGATCCTATTTAGCTTTTTGAGTCCTTATTATAAAGTCTTATTAGTACTCTAACTGTTTCACATGCCCCTACAGTACCATGGGCAATGTAGTGTGTGGTTCTGATCAAACGGTCTTCCCAAAATACACTTCATACTGTAGTTTTTGTTTGAGCACATTAAAAACATTTAGCAATCATAATTAAGGCTACAATTTTGTTATGGATATTTTTAGTAAAAGTCAGGGACAGGTCACGGGCAATGAATAAAAATTCACGGAAGCCGCAACCTGTCCCTGACTTTTACTAAAAACAGCCTCAATGAAACAGGGAGGGAGGCGGTCCAGCACCCTGCCCCCCTGCATGCAGCAGCAGGGAGGTGCGGCTCCCACCCCTGCCCATTGGCTGGGAGGGACCCCTGACCCAGGCTGGGATCTGTGAGGTCCTCTGCCGCTGGCAGGTGGGGAGCTCCGGGGCATCACCTGCCACCTGTGGGAGATGGGGGTTCTCTGGGGGATCCCCCGCCGGCAGCAACTAGGGCATTCTGGGGGATTCCCCCATGGGAGCTGGAGAGCTGCCAGAGATCCCCTGCCACCCTGCAGGGCTGGGGGAGGTCCCATGGCTGGGCTGCTGTGAGGCACCAATGTCACTGAGGTCCCTGGAAATCATGGATTCCATTACTTCTGCAACCTCCAGGACATACTGAGCCTTAATCATAATTAGTTCGTATCTAAACTAAGTATGTTAACACACAAAATAGTTGTTTAATGAAAGGCAAGGTTACCTCAAGACACACCCCACCCAGATCTTTGAAAGCACAGAACTAAGGAGTAAAGAGCAAACCATTCCTTGCCATCTTCATATCACCTACAATGCCGTAAATATACTTCGAGGCACTGACTTAAATGTCAGCACATACCAAAAAGCAATACCAGCCCTAAATTTACCCAATTTGTTTTGTGACAAAGAATCTTAATGGTGATCTTAGCAATATTAAAGCATAGCAACTTTCCCACTGAATAGCCTATGTGACCGTGAGATGTGGTGTTCTGCTGTTACAAGAGAGTATGAGGTCACTATTAAGGCTGTGTGTGACAGTCTCTGACAATGTGTTGACATAATCCTAAATTATTATTATTATTGTTTGTCTTCAGTGACATTGTTTAATGTAACTTCTATGCTCCTTTGTCATTAATAACAATGTTGCCTTTGATTGATAACATTGTATCAACGTTGACATTCAGAAAGTCATGTTTTAATCTTCAAAAACTGTTTATATAAAGTGGATTGCAATTTTTAACAACCATTCATCCAGTCTACTCATTGCAAAGAATGATATATTTACTTTCATATCTCAAACCGTTCTAGAGCATTTTAAAAAAGGAATCTAAAGAAAAATTAGTCACATGGTACGTTCTTTAAAAAAAACCCACATAACTAACATTTTTTTCACCATAAACTGCCATAGACAATTCAAGTAGTTCATAAAATACAATAAGCATTTGGATCTGATCCTCTAACTGAAAACACAGGCATTTTGTAGACTGTTTTAAAATGGAAATCCTGATTCAAACTTAACAATAGTGTTGCTACCTGCCCACTATAATTAGCTTATCCCAACCATAATTTTATTATGAACACGTCAGCTTACAACTGCCGCTATGGAGTGCCCGGAGAGGCCCCATAGCATAGTGGACAGAACAGAAAGTGTCCCACCAATTTAGCTGGGTTCTAGTACCAGCTCTATCACTGATGCTATCTGACTCTGTGCCTCAGTTTCCCCACTTATAAAATAGTTATCTACTACTTTATGGATCTCCTGAGCCTTCGTCCTCACCCTGCTCTTTGGCAGGAAGGAATTTCACAGTCAGAGGACTGTGACTGAGAATGCCCAGCCACCAAAAGTTTCATTCTGGGATGAGTCATAGCATCCTGCTGCTCACACCAAGGTGGCTATTGAAGAGAGTGGTGCTCTCTAAGCTAGCCAGATTCAGCACACATAAGGCTTTAAAAGTTAGCACTAAAACTTTGAATCAGTTCTAGAATAGGCTTTGTCACCCAGGGCCGGCTCCAGGGTTTTGGCCGCCCCAAGTAGCCAAAAAAAAAAAAAACCGTGATCACGATCTGCGGCGGCAATTCGGCGGGAGGTCCTTTGCTCCGAGCGGGAGTGAGGGACCGTCCGCCGAATTGCCGCCGAATAGCTGGACGTGCCGCCCCTCTCCAGAGTGGCCACCCCAAGCACCTGCTTGCCAGGCTGGTGGCTGGAGCCAGCCCTGTTGTCACCAGTTTAGAGAAGCACATAAGGAAAAGCATTTTTGTGTTGGGATACTCACATAAATAGTTCTGTCAAGAGGCTTCTGATATAAATTTCCAGTTCATCTGCTTTTTTACTTTACAGAATAGCACCTGGCAGCATGTAGGTTTGATAGATATTTCCTAGGAAAATCAATATGCATCTTATGCACATTTTGGAGCCCATCTAAATCTGTCTGCCATACACACTGTATGTCCAATGGTATAATCACGCATCCACGCTTGCCTTGATCTCAATGATCTTACCTGCATAGAGAGCTGTTAATTCACTTTTCCTAGAAATCTGTTGTTTGGTTGCCATGTTAATAGCATGAATGCTGCTTTGTGCTGCTGCTGCTATTAGCGTGGGTGTCTGGGCTTCCTTTATTCCAGTTAGTTCTGGAATCATTTTTAGAATAAATAGAGTATGGATGAAGCTCGCCCGGATTCAGAAGATGTAAGTCCCTCTGACTTATTTAGGCATCCATGTAAGTGGGGGAGTCTGCCAGCAGAATAGTTGGGTAGGGTATCTCAACACCTCCCATACATCACTGAGGTGGTCTTTGTAATAGCCCAGCATGGAAGATGGCAGTGAGCGTGGGCAAAGTAAGAATCCTCAGGATCTGCACATACAGGAATGGAATGACCCAAGAAAGAGCTATGGATGAACTGTAGAGTGGAGTAGCAGGCATGGGAGGCTACACTGCTAACTCCAGGAGCCCTTGCCCCACATACCCACAAGCAATGGCAGATTACTCTGTGTGAAGTGCAGCTCAGCCTGCGATACTATATGCCAGTACTCATCCTGGTTCTTACCAAGATGTGTAAAGGAGCAGTAAATACGTCCTCTACACAATAATGTCATTTAAAAAATAAAGCAAATATGTAAATCTTCCTGGTGCTATACTGAGGTTCACATTGATACTATTACAAAGCATTGTTTTGCACCAAGGATCTATTCATTAGTAGGAGGATAAACCAAAGCTTTTCTGTGATCATTTCTGTCTCATTGAGCATAAAGAGAAGACAGAGAGAAAACCAAAGTGCTGTATCTGAGGCTGCAAGATTAGAGAAATAATTAATCTGCAACACCACGGGAGCAAAGTGTTTTTATTATTATTATTATTATTAAATACAGGGACTTACATTTGTGTGTACTAAGGCACATAAATCACCAATCAGTCTAAGAGCTAATTTGTTATGTTTGGATGCTCTTTTATTTTTGAAATGGTTGCATATAAATAAGGTGCTGGATACGCCTCCAAACTATTTACTGAAATATATAAATTATATCTAGTACCCTTTTACAATTCTGAATATCAGTGTTAATGAGTATAATACATTTCCCTAATCTTGCCTTGTAAAGCATCACATGTTTTCTTTGCATCCCCAAGCAGCATTGCAGTGTTAGGTTTGTAAAAAATGGGATTGTCAACTGCAGCATACCCAACTCCCAGTGTACGCTTCATGACGATGACCTGGCGGGGGGAAAATAGCAGCATGAAAGAATTAAATGAAATAAAAACTTTCAGTATGTTCTCATGGAGGATGTAGTTAAAGTAATAGTTTTTAAAATAACATGTTACATATATTATAAAATCTCAAATCTTGGCACGTATTAAATGCATTGGCTCAAACAAAATTGCATCCCAGCAATATTGGCATACATTTTATATTGACTTTTGCATGCCCATATCTAACTATTCTCAGACCTCACATTTATGTACCACCTTCCATCCTGAAAGATTGTACTGTGGTTTAAACTGATAGAGAACTGAACAAGAATCTCCTCCAGCTCTGCAGCCACCTGTGGGTGGAAGGCAGTGGCTGTTTAGCAGCACATGGAAAAACTAAAGGACAGTTAAGAAAAGCAAATTAAGAGCATTCAATACAATTGAAAGTGCAAGAGGAAATTAGGCAGGCAAAATGTAACTACCCAAATCAGCATTTGACCAAGACATGTTAATTTGCCTAATTTATGCTAACTGCCATTGGGTCTTTTAATGACTCCGTTTCATGTAACTGCCAAAGAACACTGGTTGAGATTCACAAAGGGGACGAAAGGATTTAGCCATGAAATTCCCTAATCAGATGTGCAAAATCTCAAGCAGTACCTCCAGCATGACAGTGCTCCCTGACACTAGGCATTGGATTCAACAGACTGGGAAAAGTGCTAAACTGAATTACCTTTTCCACAGCAGCTGGGTTTTGCCCCCTTAAATTATCCAGGTTCTGACCAGACCAACTTTGCTTCTGAGATCTAATATGATCACAGCACAAGCCAGTTTGACTGCAATAGTATTTCATTAAACAATAATCCATGTTGGATATGATGTAATGTGATACCCGAAACACTGTTAATTTTCTGGGTAAGGGCCAAAATCTGTTGCCAGATACGTGGTGTGTACTACTCTGAATGTGAGACATGCAGAGTAAAGTCAAACATATATTTTCTATAATTTATCTCATTAAACCTATCAAAATGATGCTTTCATATCCAGAGATGTTACTAACATTTTGCTTCTTAGGTGCATATTTCAACAATTAAAAATCGCTTGTTTCATGCAATTATTTGCTGCATCTTAATGTTACCGGCATACAAACAATATCAAGTACCTTGTAAATGTTCTAACATTCCAATCTGAGATCAGAACTAAATCTTTACTGTGTGAGAACACAACCTGCTGGAATATTGTCTAACAGAAACATAACAAAACAAGCTTGGCATGTGCTGACTAACATGGAGATCTCAATTTTCCCCATATACTTGTCCACATTTTGCTGTGTTTTAAGAGGTTGCTTTTAATTCTAACATCTGTATGCCTGTCATTTAGTGCCGTCGTCATCTTCACCATACACCCCATCACCCAGTTTTTATATAATCTTAAATTGTGTTACATGCTAATGTCTATACTTGTACCAGTTTTATGGCTTTAAATAGCCATAGAACTTTTGAGAACATGAAGTTTGAATTAAAATGAGTTAGTTAACCTGTCTTATACATTGAATGGGTTATATTTAAGGCAATGAATTAAAAGTAGAATTTCAAAACTGGTTCTTTTCCTTTGTGGATGTGTCCATCAGATATGTGCTGCCATTTTTACCTGCCCTGAATTTTACCTTTAGATCTGAAATTCCCTCCCATACAGAATTTGCTGAAACCCCACACAGTTCACTGTGAACAGAGACACTGTGGATATAAAGTACATACCCAACACCATTGTCTGTGAATACAGCAGACCAGTGAGAGGAAAATTGAAAGCGAAAAGCTATGGGTTTGCAAATGTACACAAGCTTCTGATACACTAAGTCAAAGTTCTGCAGTCCCTTATACCTAGATCTGGTCAAATAATATAAAAATTTGTGAGTAATTTAATCAACAATAGATTTTTAGCTTTTGGGGAATACACTGAAACACAGCTCTTTGGAAGAAGATTTGGAACACTAATGAAGTGTATTTGGCTCATTCTAAATTTTAAAAGCAAAATCCATTAAAGAAGAAATGCCTTTTAAATGCTATATAATCCAGGAGCCAATCCTGCTCTTTTTAAAGTCAATGACAAAACTCCCATTGGCATCAATGAGAGCAGGACAGAGCATCTCTTGTCAAATTAAGCATTTCACTGTAAGCTTAACCCTGCAGGGCTCATCATGTGGACCCTCCTGTTGAAATGACTGGGAATTCCATATCCAAATTGTCTGCAGAGTTGGGCCCGTCTTGTGTATCTGCCGTACACTGTTAGACAGATGCACCTACGTGCATACTCCTTGCATGTGTATTCAGAAAAAAACCTATCTTTCTTTGTCTTTAGTGCAAGTCAGCATTTCTCCTGAGAGACAGAGATACATTCCATAAACATACATTGTGCAGACTTCAGTCAACTTTGATTGTTTTTAAGTACCTGCTTAGCTTTCCAGACCTCCAGTACAGGCATGCCAGCAATAATAGAATTGGGATCTTCCTGTGCTGCAGAGTTTACTGTGTCATTTGCACCAATGACCAGAGCCAAGTCCGTTTCTGAGACAGAATAGAAATATGTTACAAATGTTTTAGAACTTGCAGCTGCCTTTCCTTTATCACAGCGACACCAAAACACACAAATCAACCATGCATTAAATGTTGATAGTTCACTGTTTACTCTAAATGAAAATAAGTTAGGCCCATCCATTTGTGTCAAACCCAGAACTGAATCTTGGCAGATACATGGGCTAATGAAAACGATTATAACCATGCACTGCTACAGGCTGGGGACCGACTGGCTAAGCAGCAGTTCTGCAGAAAAGGACCTGGGGATTACACTGGATGAGAAACTGGAGATGAGTCAGCATTGTGCCCTTGTTGCCAAGAAGGCCAACAGCGGCAGTTGTCACATTTCAAGATCAATCAATTGTGGCACAGACTATCGGATATTACAATTATTTTTATGACACCTATTCTTTTTGCATCTAGGTTTTTTTTATTGTTGTTATCAGGGCATGGAGAGGTTGAAATTAGGGGATTACTCCTGTTGCAGGTCAAGTGATTTATGTGACCACCAGAATTCCAAGATGGCGTTGTAGCTCCATCTATTCATTTCTGTACAATGTAAGGATCTAATTTTGAAAATATTCTTTCCCTTCCTTTCATCTCTCCATGTATAACTCCACTATTGCCTCCTGTCACAGCTTTTTTCTAAACTGCCTGGAGTTGTTTTACCTTGAAGCATTGCTGGAGCAGCAGTTTGACAGGGATAAGCTGCTAATTCATGGAAGTGACGTCAGTTCGCTTTCTTTTAAACACACACACAGAGGTACCAGTGTGTCCAACCCTGTGATCCATTGCACAGCCATAAAACATTACCTGATGGTGATGTCAGAGCATCAAAAACTACTTTGAGTAGCTGGCAGTGGGATCTCCTCTTATCTTCTAATATTGATGAAGCAAGTAGAATGCGTGTGGGGGATGCTGAAGTTGTGTGCTCAGGGCTTTAAGGGGTGGAGCATGCTCTCTGCGCAGTGCAGCTCATTGAGTATAAGTGGATGCTAACTGTGCTCAGCCACACTTCCAAGCCACTTGCCATCAGAGAGAGTGGGCATTTGTACTCAGTCTGCCTGTCCCCTGTGTATGCAAGGGGAGGAGCTTCCTGCATCTTTCCTGGTTTACATATCCATGCTAGAGTTGCCAACTCGTACAAAACCGAACACCCTTGCTCTGCCCCCTGCCCCGCCCTTTCTCCGAGGCCCTACCCCCGCTCACTACATCCCCCCTCCCTCTGTCACTCACTCATTTTCATGAGGCTGCCTCAAGGGGTTGGGAGGTGGGAGGGGGCTCTGGGGTGGGACTGGGGATGAGGGATTTGGGATGCAGGAGGGCGCTCTGGGCTGGGGAAGGGGGTTGGAGTGCAGAGGGGAAGCGTGATGGTTCTGACTGGGGGTGAAGGATCTGCGTTGGGGATGAGGGGTTTGGGTGTAGGACGGTGCTCCGGGCTGGGACTGAGGGGTTCAGAGGGTGGGAGAGAGATCAGGCTGGGGAAGACAGTTGAGAGCTCCAACTGGGGGTGTGGGCTCTGGGATGGGACTGGGGATGAGGGCTTTGGGGTACAGGAGGGTGCTCTGGGCTGGGACTGAGGGGTTCAGAGGGCAGAAGGGGGATCAGGGCTGGGGCAGGAGGTTGGAGTGAAAGGGGGGGGGGTGAGGGCTCCGGCTAGTGGTTCAGGCTCTGGAGTGGGGCTGGGGGTACAGGAGGGTTCTTCGGGCTGGGACCAAGGAGTTTGGAGGGTGGGAGGGGGACCAGGGCTGTGGCAGGGGGTTGGGGCATGGGAGGGGGTCAGGGGTGCAAGTTCCAGGCAGCGCTTACTTCAACCTGCTCATGGAAGCAGCGGCATGTCCCCCCTCTGGCTCCTACACAGAAACGCGGCCAGGCAGTTGTGCGTGCTGTCCTGTCTGCAGGTGCTGCCCTGCAACTCCCATGTGCCATGGTTCCCAGCCAATGGGAGCTGTGAAGCTGGCTCTTGGGGCGGGGGCAGCACACGGAACCCTCTGGCTGCCCCTACGCATAGGAGCTGGGGGGAACATGCTGCTGCTTCCGGGAGCCATACTGAGGAAGAAGGGAAGTGGCACCAAAACTGGCAGCAGCCCTCCCTCCTGGTGAATCTTCCCTCCCCTGGAATTTAGGGGGCCTGGCATATGTAAAGGGCAGTAATTTCCACCTCCCCACCCCAAATGTCAGCGAACCCAAAAGACGATTCTACCAGATATTAGAAAAGCACGAGTGTCCTACAACGAAATTGCATCTTGCAGACAGGGTGCTCTATGTACTTTGCCACCCCAAGCACGGCAGTGAGGCAGCCTTCGGCGGCGCGCCTGCGGGAGGTCCACCGGTCCCGCGCCTTCAGCATACCCGCCACCGAATTGCTGCCGAAACCGTGGGACCAGCGGACCTCCCGCAAGCATGCCGCCGAAGGCAACCTGACTGCCGCCCTCACAGCGACCGGCAGGCCGCCCCCCGCGGCTTGCCACCCCAGGCACGCGCTTGGTGCGCTGGTGCCTGGAGCCGCCCCTGCTTGCAGAGCAGCGTGTGCTCACCCATACTCCACTCACAATAATGGTAGTAGTGATACAAATTAATACTAAGCCACTATTAAATAATACAAATGATCCTATATATAAGCAGTCTCTTCCCAGGCACTCTGAGTGATGATCTTTCATAATCACTACGGTATCAAATAGTATCAAAACATAAAAATACCCAAATACCCTCATAAAACCACAAACAGCAAGGGCAAAAAGGGGGCGGGGACTTTATACAGAAATCTGACATGAGGGTGGATTTTCAAAAGGACTCATTTTTGCCATAACTCTTCTCCCATAAAAGTCACTGCTACAACTCCCATTGACTGAATTGGGATCAGAGAAACTGACTTTAAACTCCCACCATACATCTGTTTGTCCAATATTCAGAATATCACATCGTTGCCTTTCCTGATACCCTTATCACTGACACAATACAGACACATATTTGATGAAAGAAGTCATATATTTTCCTCACTCTACAGCAAAAGCCTAGTGGCTATTATGATTATCTATTAAGTAATGTCAGACATAGCTTGGCTTTTATGAGTCAGACAAACCTTTAGTCTTATCTAGTCTTGATTCTGGTCTTTAAAAAGCATTACTGTCAACCCTTCTACCTACCAAAATACTACCTGGGAATAAAATTATAGTCATTTGGCCTAACTAAAAGCAGAAAATAAAGTTAAAATATTTAGAATGGTTTGAATCTAAGCCATCATCTTTCATCCCTTACCTGGGAAATCTTCATTTATCTCATCCATTTCTAATACAACATCATAAGGTACACCAGCTTCTGCCAATAGTACATTCAGTTGTCCTGGCATACGGCCTGCTACAGGATGGATACCAAACCTGGAAACCAAGAAAGCAAAGAAACCAAGTCATGCTGAACTAATAAATGCCGACTGATAAATGTCAGCAATCCTACACATGTGGAAGCAGTCCAGTTCCAGTACTTCATATACCTGAACCAGATGCAGAGAGAGAGCTATAAAATACTGGTCATGAAACTGCTACTTGGGAAAGAGCAATTCATGTATCTGTCTGTAATCAGTACCAGAAAGGGAAAATTGAAACACTTACAGAACTCCTTTCACATCGGAAAGGTTAAAAATTAACTATGTAGTCATGGCATGTTATTTGGTGATTTCATTTAACACTTAAGCCATACCCCAGAATCTAAATCACTCATGAAGACTGTGTGTCATCTGCAGTGTGTGTATATACCACACAAGAATGGGATTAGAGCCTAGGACAAATGAAATAACACTTTAAACAGATATGTGGCTAAGGAGTCATTCCATTTTCTAATGCAGAGGTGGCTTATTGATACACATTCTTAATATGTACTTGCAAAAAAAAAAAAAGCAACCACTGCTGGGAAAAAAAGACTTTTCCAAGAATTTGACACAAGAATTGAAACACTTAATATTCTTGTCGAATATTAAGAAAATGAATGTCTGAATTCCAGAGGCTACTCAAATATTCATAGGCCTGGACTACCCAACTGAATGCTATGGCAAACCTGAGCTCTGTCAGTTCTGAGATCATATTCATGCTCTGTTTGCTGCTAGCAGACTTCCAGCACAGATGTTTTCCTGATTAATGTGGGGAGAGATTTTTCCCCTCACAGGGAATTTGTGTTTCTAATTTGCTTTGGTGTTTTTGAAAATCCCACCCATATTTGCTATGAGAGAGCAACTCATTTTTAGAAATATCTATTAGCTCATTTGCGAACGTAAGTGTTTATTGGAGCCCCTAACCAAGGCACTCAAGTTTGAAAATTGAGCCTGTAGTATTGAATGGCAAAGTGTATTACCACGTGTATTACCACGTCCTACTAAACATACTAAAGATTTCCTATTGAAGTTCTATCATTGCTTTTAATGTTTGATGTACAGTATTTGTCCTGGCCTATTTCAATGACAACATTGTGAACCAGATCCTTAGCTGGTATAAATCAGCATAGCTCCACTGAAATAAGAGCTGAGCTCCGTTGAAATCAATAGAGCCCTACTAGTTTATACCAGCTGAGGGTCTGGCTCACTATATGCAACTTACCTGACTTTCTTTCCTTGTTCATTAAGCATTTTCACCATGTCAGCAATGGGATACTGGGCCTTGGCTGCACAAAGACCCCAACCTAAACCATGAAAAACATGTCAGTGTTTTACAAAGGAAGCTTAGCATCCCTCAAAAAGCACCATAAAGGGCTCAATTAACCAGCATGTCTTCTGCATTAATGAATATTAGAAACCACAGTTACCGCACACGGTGCCAACAAAACTAATTTGCCTGGTGAAGATGACAGAGTTAAAGGTCAAACTGAACTGCAAAGGGATACTTTAATATGGTCGTTTAATTCAATGGTAGCACTTAATGCAGGTTTCATTGTAAATTACATTGAAAAACGAAGAGTCCTGGCTACAGCTAACTCACTCTACAACCACCATATTCTGTTTACATATTACTGGTGGGGATGTGTGGGAAAGACGGCTTTTTGGTTTTCCAAGCTGAGTTTGCAGGATTGCCATTCAGGCAAAAACTATTTTCTAGCTTGTAAACTGAGCATTTTTGATATGGAGCCTGAGAAACAATATGTATGAGACCTCTACTGCCAATTTTACAAAATCACTGTCCAGATTGAACCACACATTTAGCCTACTAATACTCTCTGGGAGGTAGGGATCCATCAGCCCCACTTTTGCACATGGAGAGATTAAATCACAGAAAAGTTAACTTTCTGGCTCAGGATCACACAGCAACTGAGCAGCAGAGAAAGGAACTAGGGAGACCAGATGTCCCGATTTTATAGGGACAGTCCCGATTTTGGGGTCTTTTTCTTATGGCTCCTATTACCCCTCCCCCCCCCCCCACACACACATACACCTCCTGTCCCAATTTTTCACACTTGCTGTCTGGTCATCCTAACAGGAACTGAACTGAGATCTCCTGATTCCAGTCCTTTCTCTAAGCCAGTGTTTCCCAAACTTGGGACACTGCTTGTGTAGGGAAAGTCCCTGGTGGGCTGAGCTGGTTTGTTTACCTGCCACATCTGCAGGTTCGGCCGATCGCAGCTCCCACTGGCCGCGGTTCACTGCTGCAGGCCAATGAGAGCTGCTGGAAGCGGCATGGGCTGAGGGACGTACTGGCCGCTGCTTCCAGCAGCTCCCATTGGCCTGCAGCAGCGAACCATGGCCAGTGGGAGCCGCGATCGGCCAAACCTGTGGACACGGCAAGTAAACAAACTGGCTCAGCCCGCCAGGGGCTTTCCCTAAACAAGCAGTGTCCTAAGTTTGGGAAACACTGCTCTAAGCACTAAACGCCTTGTCCCAAATTTTCAATTGCTCTTGTCTACTGGTGCAAAGCAGCAGTAAACCAGAGATAAGGCCAGTGTAGGATTCCCATGTGTAGCAAATGTGGCCAGGACAAAAGTAGATAAAAGGCATAGACAGGGTGCTGTGGAAACCAGTTGATTCCCAGCTGTCAGAATAGCCCATGGGAGCTGTTGTCCAACTGCTGGTGGCCTCAGGAAGAAATTGGGAGGGCCAAGAGGTGGCTTAAAGCCTTACTTCCCCAACTTCTGGTCAGGTCAGACAAAGCCCAGGACCTGATCCACTGCCTCCCAGGGGTATCGGCCACAGCTGTAATGATCTTCTCGATGCACACACTGTATGAATCATTAGAAAAACTTACCATTGTCATCATATAGCTTATGCAGCATTAAATCCAAAGCAGACAACTGAGGGACATTTTATTTAAATCACCCACATCCCAGACTCTGATTAGAAAGAACCAAGAGATCCTTATTTAATACTGCACACTGTTCTAATCAGAATTCATACTCGTGTTCCAAATAAAGTCTCCAAATCCCATAAGACAAATTTCTTTAAGCTCCTGGGGAGGAGAATATAAACATCTTGACCAACAACAAATATTTAGGGCTATGAGCATTAAGGGCCTAATTTTCAAATGTTGCTGCAAAAATAAACAATGGCCTTTACTGTTATTCTTTGAATAATATTTTTTTTCTTAAAAACAACATATTTGGATGGGGGACACTCAGGCAGTCTCCTTCCTTCTCCCCACTTTATCCCTTCTCATTACAGAGGCCCCTCGTCAGGATGAACCATCCATCTGGCTAAGAAGGGCTGCTTGCAGCTGCATCTAGAGCCAGCCAACTGTACTCCTGGGTCAGTTGTAGGGGTTTGCTTGAGTGCAATGCTAGGTGTGTGCAACATTTCTAACCTCTGCAACCCAGAGAGCGAGGGACTGAGCCCAACACCCAAACTCAGATTCCAGATGAGCTGCCAAGTAAAGGGTTGGCGCGCTAACAAACATTCAATCCCTGCAGGCAATCCGACACACAATAGCCATTTTAGTTAAGGATTTTTTCCCCTACATATTTGGGACCAAGGCCTTATGTTGTTAATACACATTCATAAAACACACTAACTTTTTGTAGTTTACTGCAATGAAAGAAGAATTTGATATGGCATATTTAAATCCACAGGACAGGATGTCCTGCAGCTAGGAGATGAGTGAAGAATGCGTCCTGATCTCAAGACATGTTTGCCACACATCGTTACACTGGCAGAGTTAAAAATTGCCTAAAACTTTGTACAACTGGTTTTTTGGGTTTTTTGGTTGGTGGTTGTTGTTGTGGAAAATTTGAAATGAATTAACATCTGGCCACATAATGAATTCAATGGGAGATTACCCTGAGTAAAGTCTGCAGGAATTGGCTTATTAATTTTAAGGAATTTAGTAGCTAGAAATTACTTTTCTTTTATAAGTATTTGGGGAAAAGTAAAATCTTTGAAGTAACTGAAAATCCCACAATATTGGTGCCATAATAATAGCACCATCCAGAGAGTGCAAAGTCCAACTCAGGACAAGTCTGCTTTTACACTCAGGGTTTGTATCCCCAGTTTTCTCGACCTTTGAGGCATTCTGCCATGTCACTATTTTTTCATTGAGGACAGACAGGACTCTCTTCAGAGCCCATAGGACAGTGGCAGATTTAGAGTTAATGGGGCCCTTGGCACAGCTTCATTTTTGCCCCCCCCCCTCAGGACACAGCCAAGAAAAAGAACATTCTCTCTTATTTTCCCCCCACCCCCCGTATTTCATTCTTTTTTTCTTCATCTTCCTCCTATATTATAAGTAATGGAAAGTAAATGAAAATAAAGTGAGGTACCTTGATTGGGGCAGGGAATTGGGGTGCAGGAGGAGGTGTGGGGGGTGGGCTCTGGGAGAAAGTTAGGGTGCAGGGTGCAGGCTCTAGGCTGGGGTAGGGGGTTGGAGGGCAGAAGGGGGCAGCGGGGCGGCGTTTACCTCGGGCAGCACGGTTCCCAAAGCGATGGGCACACACACACCCCTCCGGCAGCCGCTCCTAAGCGGGGGGTTCCCGGCCAATGGGAGCTGTGGAGTCAGCACTCGGGGTGGGGACAGCACATGGAGACACCCCCTAACCCCTCAGGGGCTGCAGGGACATGCTGGCCGTTTCCAGGAACAAAGCGGCGCGGAGGGAGGGAGGCAGAGTGGGCAGGGAGCTGCCTTAACCCTGCTGCTGGCACATCTCTGCACACCCCTTGGGGAGAGAGGGGCAGCGGGTTTCTGTGTGCTGCCCGGGGTGGGGGCAGCACGCGGAGCTGCCTCCCGCCCCATCAGGGGTGTGCAGAGACGTGCCAGCAGCCAGTTGCTTCCGGGAGCTACGTGGGGCCACCGGCCATGGAATTCAGGCATCCTGCTTGCCTGAGCCCTGCTGCGCTGCTGGTCGGGACTCGGGGGCAGGTTGTCAGATATTTGTCCTGCGTTTTGGGTGCCCCCCATGTTGTTGGGGGCCCCGTGCCACCACATGGTTTGTTTCATGGTAAATCTGCTCCTGCCATAGGAGCTACTATTCTGTAAAGTGAGGCATTCATTCATGAGGGTCTAACCATCACTGGTTGGTCTGATTCTGATCACTTCCAATAGGGTAAATCAGAAGTAAATCCACTGAATTCAGGGATGGGTGGGTGAGATTCTGTGTCCTGCAATGTGCAGGAGGTCAGACTCGATAATCATGATGGTCTCTTCTGACCTTAAAGTCTATGAGTCTATGAGAATTCAGTGTCATGAAATGGTGTAAAACTGGTGAAATCAGACCTCTGTCCATGCAGACCTGAGGACGAGATGGATCTTTTTTCCTAAATGGCCCTGTAATGTATTTGGTGTTTTTTAACAAATCAGCTTAGGCTTTTTAATACCAATGAGATGTAGATTACACTATCTTCTTGTTTCTTTCCCCCAGTTTAGCAAGCTTTTTCCATGCATAGAATATCAATTTTTAAATCCCCACAAGAATCTTTAACTTTCCTAGCTAGAGTCCCTTATTCTTTCATAGATGTTTTATCAGTCATAATTTCTGCTCATTCCTTTAACTAACTAAGCAGAATGTTGTGCAATAACTGAGTTATCCTGACAAGCGCATTACTGAATAAGCATACAAAAATATCTGAACTCTTACCAGGGGTAATGATGACAGAGTTCGCTTCCTTTATCATTTCAATGGCTTGGTCAATTCCGACTTCGGTATGTGTTCCAACAATTTCCATAGGTTTCCCTCCACCCGTAGAAGATGTACCAAATCCACCCAAAATCACATTTGGCAAAGACCTATTCATGGCCTAAGTGGGAAGACATGAAATGAGTGCATTGGTCAAAAGCAATAGTTCTGATTACATTCAGAGAACCCCAAAATAAACAGTGCATTTAATGGGAATCCTCATGTCGTTTGTTTGGAAAGGCAAGCTGCATTATTGTTCAGCTCATTAAAGTGTACTTTAACGAGACTCCGAAGACGATGCAGCAATGGTTCAATAGTTCAATATTCTATTTGGAAAGCTACAGTATCCCACTTGGCATATAACCCATACATTTTGAACAAAGGTTTTCAGATGTGCCTTTGAGAAATTCTTATGTTTTTCAGTCATGTTCTAACCATTTTTCTTTTCACAAAGCCACAAAGGCATTGATTTGTTTAAAGAACTTCTCCCCTCTTGCTCATTATAAAACAGCACGTTTCCTCAAAATCAGTCACTGGGTGAGATTTTTCATTGCAGATTCTTTGGTCCTTGTCAAAATGCTGACTGACAGTACCAGGCTCACAAAGCAAACCATACTACTTCTTATTTCATTTTTTAAAGTAAGGTTAGATGACGGATTGACAATGCTAGAGACTGTTTATTCAGAGACCACGTACAGTGCAGGCAGCAGCAGTGCAAGCTTCCCCATACTACAATCCCACCAATCTGACCTGGAAGGGTCACATCTAACAGTGAGAGTAATTTAGCATCCAGGCCAATACTGGTGCCAGTCAGTGCCAGTTGTGGTAGTGGTTTCTGAGATCTCTAGGAACTGGAGTGAGATCACCAATTGCTCTAAACACTATGCGTACCACATCCTAATTCTAAAAGCCCACCAAATAGTCATCAGACCCGCAATAACTTTTGATTATTTATGACCAGTTTGAACTGGATTTAAACTAGCAATTGATCAGTTGGGCCATCCAGTCTCTTTTTAAGAAGTTCCCGCAGTAGAAGCTCCAGACTTGTTTCACCAAAGTCAGCATGTTAGCCCAAGTACATATGTTGCCATCTTACCACACACATGATGTAAGAGAGAATCGCTCCAGAGGACCCAATCAAGGCACCAACAATTGTCATCAGGTTGTTATCAAGAAGGAATCCTTCCGCACACAAAGCCCATCCAGAATAGCTGTTCAATACAGTGATGACCACAGGCATATCTGCACCACCAATAGCTGCCGTAAGCGTGACTCCCTGCAATTGAATAGACACCACGGAAAGAAAAACTAATGGAAACTCACATTTAAAGAATGACATTATTACTAACCTGTTAATTAAAAAACAAAACAAACAAACCATCCAATACCTGAGTACAAGAACTTGGCTATTTCATGATTATCTGTTACACATAATGGGTCTGATTCTGTGAGGAGCTGAGCACTCTGAATTCTCATTTACACAATAGGAGCTGAACCCACTCAGCATCTCACAGGATTGGACACTTACTCTCTTTCCAAAACATCTTTCCAAAATCAGATCATATTTGTAGCAGTGGTTTGGAGTATAGGATTACATATACATCTGACTAGACAAACAATAGCTTGTTTTACTGAACTGCCCTTAGCTAAAATGTTTTGGATCCTTGCACTATGGTTTCTGGGATCCTGCAGCGATTTGTTATGGAATTTCTATAGGGCACCATAAATATTTTGCATAGTGCTTTGAGGAGTGCTCGCAATTACACCAAATTTTTCAGCTGATGTGCAGAGCTTCTATTTTCCTGGCATTCAGCAGAAGCTGCAGATGAATGCAAGAACTTTATATTTCTTTTGTTTGCATTGAAAGGATTCAGAGAGTGCTTTCTTGTGTGCTTACCATGATTGAGGAAAGTCCTGAAACACCAAGAAGACAGGCCATGCCGGTAGTGTAGCTTGGGTCCAGCATAAACAGCCCCATACCACCCACTGACGCTGCCAGCAACCCGCCATTCAAGTAATGGCGACCAGGTAGAAGGAGCGGCGCTGAGTTCAATAAACCTGGAATCAAACACTAAGGTGTTAACAATTCAGTCATTTTATGATATAAACATTTTTAATGTTAAAGTACAGGAACCCCAAAGAAGCTATCAGCGCAGGTACAGAATCAGAAGCCCAAAGATGCTGGTTCCACAGTGGATCAATTTATCTAAAGGAAAGTTTGGCCCATTGGAGACACAAGGCAGAGGATCAGTTGTTTGGAGCTCCCTACTTCCCAGCAGCTCTTATTCAACTCTCAGCTCCCAGGAGCGGGTCTTTTTCCACATATGAGTGTACAGCCTTTGGGCAACCCTCCAGCCCTATTGGCTATCCTGTCTCTGTCATTGAGGGGTCTGCCCGGTCAACAGTCTTTGAGGATGGGGGTTCCTCTCAATTATCAGTTTTCTGGGAGAGCAGTTCACATGCACCAGTCCCTGGTTTTACCCAGCCAGGGTCATCCTGAAGCCTCTTCAGCTCCCTGGCTGGCAACACAGTTTCCCATTTCAGCTGTGAGCCAAGGAAGCATGTTTGGCCGTAAATGTCAGCTAAGAGAGATCCTGCCATCAGACTGCTTCCCCAAACAGCCAAATCAGGATTTTTCATACTCAGTGATTCCCTTGACATCATTCCTATCATTATATGAAATGGGATGTGGGAGACAGCAACAGAGCAGCTTCCCATGTAGTAGGATCACTCTGCCACTGCTAATGGGGACCAAATACTTGTCTGGAATAAGAAGCCTCACTGACTATTTATCCTTGAAAACTATTTTGGACTGAACAGGACCCCCAGCATTTGGTCTTTAAGTCATTATTTCAATAGTTACTGGTCATGCTACTACTGCAGATGAACCTTTTTGGACTTGAATTGTACCACATCAACACTGTTATTCAAACTCATATTTTTACATGTATATCTTGTGTGTCTTTAGTATGCCATGCACCATGAAATGGTTTGTTTATTTTTCACAAGTGTTAAATTACTGAGCAATTTGATTCATTTTTATGGCCATAATCCTCGCACTTCACTCTGGAGTAGCTTTTCATTGCCATATTGGAACTAAGAAAATAATGGGTCCAGATATAGTCTACAGGAGCTCTTACCACATTTTCTATGACCCCTATTTGTCCTCCTTTAGTCCTTGCTACATCTGAGGGAGTGTAAACAAGCACTCGTTCTCCCTCTGGAAATTTACAGGAGAGGATTCGTTGAAAGCTGTCACCAATAACAATCTAATATAATCTTTTGGCCACCTAATCCCACCAAACTTGTCAAAATAACTCTGTTGTAAAAGGATGTGATTTTGGAAAGGACCTGAAAGTTAGCTACCCAGTTCCCACTGGAAGTAGCACTTCACTCCCATAGAAACCTTTGGAAATCCCATCCTAAATTATTTAACGTGACATAGAGCAAAGAAGAAAGTACCTTGCAGTTTTCCATAAGCCACTAACGAACCGCTGAAGGTTACACCCCCAATATAGGTGCCCAAATATGCCACAGTTTTGAGAACACTGGCAGAAGGGTGAACATCGAGGTGTGGATATTCGATCATATACTCAGCAATACATGTAAGAACTGCGGCCAACCCAACCAGACTGTGAAATGCAGCTACAAGCTGTGGAAGGTCAGAGATTTCAATCCGTTTCGCAACTGTGAGACCTGTAAAATGAAATGATTTAGATCCAAGATTAAAGAATTGTATTGTATTTCATCCTCGCTTGAAGTATAAACAGGCAGTGAAGCAACAGAGGACTGTTTTCTTTCTTATGTTGTTTTTCTTTTTGTGCAATACAATAGAAACATAATAGTTGTAGGAAATTATAACCTAATTTAAATCTCCTCCAAAAATATATTGCAAGAACATTCTGAGACAACAGACTAAAAGAAACAGAGCCAGATTGGGGCTTTGAAGCCACAACCTCTTCCTTGGGGAGGGGATGCTGCTGGCGCATCAGTCATATCTCCCAGATGTATTCTGCCTACAGGGAGCAGGCAAGCAAAATGCCCCTGGAGGCTCTGGGAGAGCACATTGCGTTCTCATTCACAAGCTGGGAATGCTCTTTCCCACCATTCCTACTGTCAGGCCTCCAACTCCCATGTTCCTTGGAGATTACAACTCCCAAAGTTCCATTCCTTCTGGGCTGAAATGTGGAACAGAGCAGGGCTGGATTTCTACCCTGCCACAAGGGTCAGCATACCCTGTTATAAGGATCCTATGTGGCTACACAGGTATGGCCACCACTGAAGATTAGTAAACCCTCTGCCAGGCCCAAGATCTGGCATTACAGTTCTAGTAGTCCTGACTACAGACCAATCGTTCAACGATATTGTGATCCAGGAACATACTTGCTAATCCTTCTCCCCTCACCCTATTAATTATATTATAATTGTTATCAAAACTATTAGCAATAAGAACATTTGGGAGAGGCATAAGTAACGAATAGGAGGATTTTAAATTTTCCTGATTGTGCTCTCCACTGCTTTTTGGAATTACATGAAGGGAAATTTCAACTGAAAAACATTCACTGCAGGGTTGCCTGTAGTGAGACTTTCAGGATTCCAAACAAGGCCACGAAAGGTAATCTAGGAGGCTCTGGAAAATGGGGAAAGGAACCTCTGGGAAATACTGTAATCATAAACTCTATAACGACAGCCACCATTTTGAGCTATGGTTACTATTTCCTTTGATTGTAACTTGCCAGCAAGTGCATATTCAGGTAAAATACTTCCTAGAAATAAAAAGTATGTTTTAAGCTTAAGCCATGTGACCAAATTTAAAAACAATTTATAAGCTTTGTACATATCTGCTTCACCATCTTAAGTTCTCCTCTTAGTCAAGATTGCCACCTTTAGGCATTAATGCACTTTCCAAATGTATTTTCTCATCCTATTATAAATAAAGAATTATTCTTTGGTTAATAAACCACTAATGAATGCGGTATGAAGTCAGGCTACATGAATTGTACAATGTGTTGTACATACCTATTGTACCACCCATTGCCATGGCAGCAGACATCTGAGCGAGTACTTCTGGTGATGGGTTCAGTGCTCCTAGTGTAGCTGCTACACCACCAGCCACCCCAATCATACCTAGGGCATTGCCAAGTCTAGAAGTGTTCTGACTAGACAATCCTGCCAGTGCACCAACACAGCAAAGACCTGAGCCCAAATAGATCATCTGTAAAACAATGCAAAAGTTAATACGTAGTGCACAGCATTACTGCACATCCGTCTTCTCTCCTGGTAGAAGATAAGGGTGTTGCAAAACCTCCAGGATCCCCAGCTAGAGTAGGGGGAGGGGAAGTTTCAATGCCAAGAGTTTATGGTTTAAGATATGAAAGATTTCTTCTTTGCATATTAGTGGAGGAGTCCAGTTTGTTCAACCCCAGGTGCTGAAACTTCCCTAAGTTGTCTCCTTTCGATTCTCCATTCCTGTATTTCTCTGTCACATCACTCTGCAAACATTGCAGCGGTGACACTGACTAAACTTCTCAAATACATAGCCTTAATCCCCAGTGACATATATTTAAGTACATATTTTTGGTTATTTCCATAACCATTGCACTACTATTTTCTTGCATTAGTCGTCATTGCCCTGCCATTGTGACTCATCTTCAAGTGTGTATGTGTGTGGGTTCTTACTACTCTCTCCCTAGAGTAACAAACTAATAACACATTAGTTCAAGCTTAAAGTAATTTAGTATAATTATCTTTGCTAGATTTACCATCTTTTACATTGGATGTGTTTTTAAATGGTTTTAATCAGCAGTTTCTTTGTGTGGGGAAGAAACACATTTTATCGAATCAGTCATTTAAACTGCATTTTAGGGATTGTAATGCTATGAGATCATTCCCATTGATTTTCTGTTACTTTGATTCTTAAGTGTTTTGATTCACAAAATGTTCTGAAATCCCTACATGATGATGCATTTATAAATAACATGTGGTGTTCTTTCTTGTGTTTGAAAAGCACATGGTGATTTTATTTCACAGCACAAAAGCTCAATGTTACTTTTTTCCCCACCTGTATTACTGAATCCATTGATAATCATGAATCTAAAACAATGTGACAATGACAAAAAGAATATAGGCTGCATACCCACCATTCTCTAATCACCTCGTAACCAATGAAGCTAAGACATTCCATACCCCCCCCATAAAAGCCCAGAAAGGTCATCACAAGATCTTTTGCTTCCTGTACTTTTCAAGAACTGTTCAAAGGGGCTTTTCAAAAATGGAAATCCAAAGAGCTAAATGTGGCAGAAGTAGAGCTGACATGTAACAGTGTTATCAATACTGAGGTGTAACAATTTTATGAACATTGTATGTGACTGGGTCAGGGAGGGCAAGTTACTGTGTAGGGTTGTAAGATTTTCCTCTATGGAAGTGTTGATCTAACTTATATTGTGCTGTGGGAAGGAACACAATGGCTTCCCAGAGAAGAAAACCCATGCACACACTTGAAAGACAATGGGCAAAATTATCAGCTTCAAGGACCAGGCATCATGTCGCCAAAGAAGATGCAAGCTTGTTGTGCCAAGCTTGGAACATGGAGATCAAACAGTCAAAAGCCTTCCGGGGTTAGGGGGGATGGCAAGGGGAGGAGGGAGGCTTGACAGAATGACAGTATGACAGAGAGAAAGACTTGTGGAGGGAATCTAAAGAAATTGGGCCTTCCCCAGATCCAGGAAATGGTAGGCCTTAGGAGGAAAACCTGATATGCGTGCAGTCTGTTTTATTATTATTATTATTTAGACATGTTTTCCCTGAAATGCTTTTGTTCTAAATAAATGATACTTTGTTTTAAGGAGGCTGCTTGATAACTGAATACCACTGTTAATGTCCTGGCAGGAACAGAACTGCAGGGTCTGGCATAAGTCAGACCTGCTCAGGTAAATCATAGTTAATACCATGGGACTGCAACCCAGGGCCCGATCTGAGATGGGACAATCGTGTGATTCCTCTCCAAGAGACAGGCAATGGCATGAGGCCTAGAGAAGGTGTGCTTGGAGAGACCAGGAGGGGTCAGTTCGCCCAGGAATTATGACAATGAGATCCCCTACAAAAGACACATATCCAAAATGCTCTTTCCAAGCTGGGAGAAACAAAAGAGTAGTCAAAAATGGGATTCTCATAAATGGAGGGTGGGATGGTCTGCAATACTGTGATTGGTTGCTTTCTGCACTAGCTACGGGTTGCTGCAAGCCATTCTGATTTGTCAGCACAGTGCCCAGATAGCTATACAAGGGAGAAGGAGAGAAAATACTGAGAGTAAATATTTCTAAAGGCCATTTACCCTAGTAAGCGTAGCCAACAGGGGCGCTTGCAGGCATGTCAAAGAAGGGTGCAGAAATATGTCGACTAAACAATGCTTTGTTTGTACAAAATGCTTTTCTGGGATTCAGGAATGATTAGCTTTAAAGAGACCTTTTCCACCAAACAACTGCCGAAGCATTGCAAATGGACCTGTTTGCCATTCATCTAAATCAATAGCCGAAGCTGACAACCACCTGTCATAGATTATTTTTTGCAGGTTGTTACTATAAATGTGACTACATAATATCATAATTAGGATCCAGGCAACAGGCTAGAAGGACTAGCACTAAAATAGTTTTAATGGTGTCCGTTTGGGCTGCACATTCAGGTTTGCAGCTCTATTAGAAAGTACCAGATAATTCTCCTTCTAGAATCCTATCCGTAACCCCTACAGACATCCTACTTTTTCAAATATGTTACTATTTGGGAAACACCTAATGGCCACATTTTATATTGGTGTAAATGGGTGCAGTTCCTCTGACTTCAATAGAGTTTTGCCTGTTTACACCAGCAGAGAATTTGGCCCAATGTCTTTCTAACTATTGGCCTGGTCCTTGTGGTGTTAGGTCCAAACCCAGGAAGCAGACAAATAAATCAGTAGCTCAGTGTATCTAGAAAATAAGCTATAAACATCCACTACTATTCCCAGTTCTTCTTCTGCTCTGTAGCTCAGCAAGATGTTTATTAGATATTACATTTTTACTATCAGCACTCTTTGGTGTATTATTTCCTGGAGTCAATTGTATTGTTTAATTCCTTTAACCGAAGTATCAGGTATCCTAGACTATTAGTTTAGTATAGCTTCAAAGAATGGGGTCCCAATGAAAAACTATCCCTGATACAGCTGTTTGGGCAATAAGCTCTATTACTTTGCCTAGTGACTGCTAAATGACCTTCTGATAAATTCCAGGATATTTATCAGCTTCCTTTCTTGAAACGGTTTTGTTTAAAGTACTTTAAAGAATTAATGAAAATTGACACCTCAGTTTCTCCAGATTTTTGGTGATGATCACCTTTGTGGGTGGAGGGAAGTCCTAAGGGTTAGTAAGAGTGGACCAGTTCAATTCTGTTAGGGGTTCTGATTACTATCAGGCCATTTGCTTCACAGAATACTTTCTTTCAGTGTCTTCAGCAACCATAGCTTGCTGCTTAGACTATCTCAGAAACGAAATGATGACTCAGCTTCTGGTGTCTGTATTTAGAATAACAGCTAAGAATTTGGAGGTGAATTAGAATCATAGGGTTAGAAGGGACCGTGAGGGTCATCTAGTCTAAGCCCCTGTCAAGATGCAGGATTTGTTGTGTTTAATCCATCCAAGACAGCTGGTTATCCAGCCTCCTTTGAAAACCTCCAATGAAGGAGCTTCAACAACCTCTCTAGGCAGTCTGTTCCATTCTCCTACTGTCATTACAGTTAGGAAGTTTTCTCCAAGGTTCAATCTAAATCTGCTATGCTGTAGTTTGAACCATTGCCTCTTGTTCTGCCCTCTGTGGCAAAAGAGAACAACTTTTCTCCGTCTTTTTTATGGCAGCCTTTCAAATATTTGAAGACCACTATCATATCCCCCTTAATCTCCTCTTTTCCAAACTGAACATACCCAGTTACTTCAGCCTTTGCTCATATGGTTTGCATTCCATCCCTTTGATCAACTTTGTCACTCGCCGCTGGATCCTTTCCAGTTTCTCTACATCCTTTCTACACATTGCTGACCAAAATTGGACACAGTACACCAACTGATGCCTAGCCAGTGCCCAGTAGAGTGGTACCACCACCTCCCGTGACTCACATGCTATGCCTCTGTTAATGCAGCCTAAAATAGCATTGGCTTTTTTTGCAACAGCACCCAATTGCTGACTCATGTTGAGGTTGTGATCCACGACAACGCCCAGTACTTCTCAGCAGTGCTGGTGCCAAGCCAGTTATCTCCCATTCTGTATTTGTGCATTTGGTTTTTCTTCCCTAAGTGTAGCACCTTACATTTGTCTTTGTTGAGTTTCATTTTGTTGTCTATAGCCCAGTTCTCCAATTTATCAAGATCTCTTGAATTTCCAAAGTATTGGCAACTCCCCCAGCTTTGTGTCATATGCAAACCTGATCAGTATGCTCTCTATACCTACAGCCAGGTCATTAATAAAGATGTTAGAAAAAAATGTGTATGTGTGAGTTTTAAAAAAAAGTTTGTTGAAATAGTAAATCTTTTAAGAAGCTTAATTCAACTGCACAAGCAGAACTGCATTGTCTATCCAGTTTAAATGTAAGCTCCTTGGGCTAGAGACCTTCTATACCTTTATGCCTATAAACTGCCACGCATTCTCAAGGTGCTCAACAAATAATAAATAATAATCATTTTAAAAAAGAGAGCAGGAGGGTTTCTTATTAAAGCAGAAAGAACCTGTTCAAAGAGTTCACAGAAATTCTGTCTTCCAAATCTTGCCAGGACAGCACGATGAACCTCTCAACCAATGCAGAAACACTACTGTCATGCCAAGGCAAGTAACTGATTCTGTGGGGTCCCTGCAAGTACATATATTCTTTAGGTCACCAGTTTTGCTCACTCCAGTTGATGAGTCGATTGAAGAATTTCTTCTTGCAAAGAGCTACGTCTAAAGATTCTGTTCTACACAACAAGAGCACATTCTGAGGTTTGTTATAGAGGAGGTAGTTATGTTTTGTGTTGCTAGGATGCTGGGAAATGATGTAAAGTGCAGTCTGTGATCTTTGTGACTATATAAAAGCGATTCAGAAAAGCCAGTATTGAACAGTATTACGTCTTCCACCATCTACTTCATGCTGTATTTCAACAAACTTTTTTTTTAAACTCACACATGCACAGTTTTTTCCCTGCAAGGTGACACAGTAACTTGACTGTATTTCACCTTCCTTAAGAAACTCATGAAAGGACAAATAGACCATCATGGAATGGAAATGCAGAGCCAAATTCTGCGGTCTTTTATTGAATGAAATGAGTTTTGCTCGAATAAGGACTGTGGGATACAGAAAGGCTATAAAACTGTTTTCTCCTCGCTCTTAGTGGTGGACAGCTTACTAGGAAACCAGAGAGTCCATGATCCAGTGAAAAGGGATGGAGAATATTTGCCCATGTAAGTCAATAGTTTGGCCAATACTAAAAATTAGGGGCTCAATTCTGCAAATACTGAGCCAAGTACCTATTACTGTGAATAGTCCCTTACTATATATACTGGTAACTATTAAGGCCAGCAGTATTTGCAGAATCAGGCCCTTCATTTATTTAGCTTTGCTAGCACAACTGAGCCTAGCTGCTTAGATTGCTAACCTGATAACTGAGCAAAATAAATCTGAATGTTGCCTGACCTGTTCAATGTTATATCCACTGGCAAGAGAGGCACCATATCCTCCAACAAACACTGCTCCAGGGAGGAGATAGAGATAATTATATTCCGGTGGGTCTGTAGGTCGTTTGAACATATCCAGCATTCGTTGTGTAATTAAGAAACCGCCTGTTGGGAAATATACGTTTGAACTGTAAGAATAAGAAGACAGGAGTCCTTGCATGTACATTCCTATAAATAAAAACCACTCCTTTACAGTAGGTGAGGGTTACTTCTGTATTATGTTTGCATTCTGCAAACTATTTTGGTTGCAAATTTATCTCAAATGTGGTTAGCAAACTGCCTTCTCTTCTGTCCCTTGCAGAACTAGAATATTCAGTTCTGTTACTAAACTGCTGTGTTTTTTTAATAAGATTTTTCAGCATCAAACTTACTGCTCTGAAGGCCAAATCATCCCACCTCCCTCTTTCCTCTGAGGTCATATTGGATGCAGCAGGACTACTGTAATCCTACAGTGCAAAGGGAAGTGGAGAGGATTCTGGGAGGCCATGCATGGGACCTACACACCCTGCACACTACAAAGCTGAACTCCACAATGTAGTAGAAGTTTGGAGACTTGGGTAGGGGCAGGCCATGGAAGGTACTGGTGGGCCTGGGAGTATGAGAATCCATTGGCTATTCCACAGACCTGCAGAGTTAGATAAAACGAACAGCAGAGAGTACTGCAATCTTGAGACTGCAATAGAAATTATGAACCAGCTCTTCTGCTGCCCCATGGCTTGGAGGAAAGGGAAAGTGTAGCCAAGGCCTTAGTTCCCCAGCTGTAAAATGGGGACAATAGCACGTCTCAGCCTCATAGGGATTTTGAGAGGATAAAAGCATTAAAACAAGATTATAAGGTGCTTGAATACTACCGACATGGGAGCCATATAAGCACCATATACTATGGCACATACTCTCCAATTTCAAGTGTTAGGTTGATACTTGATTAAGAGATTATTGAAAGCCTTTCTAGCTATTCCCTTGCTGATATTTTAGCTTCCCACTGGAACTGCAACATTCTCGAAGAAAAAATACTTTACAACATGGAGTCTGATCCAAGTGAAATTGGCACACAAGTATTTCAGTGAAATTTGAAAATGGGTTTTGGCTTGCAGTTGTTTATAATGAGCCCTGGGAATCTCGTTTTCTTAACCATTTCCCCCTCTCCACTGTGGCGTGCTTGTACAATGGTTTGTTATTATCAGGTTGCTCATGCATGCTGGGCTGCTGGCACAGATGTCTTTGTAGGCTGAAGCTTTCCAAAGCTGAGTGCCTGAAAAGCTAGACATCCACGTTCATAATTAGGTACCTGTCTTTTCACCTGATTTTCAGAGATGCTGAGGTCCTTTTGACCTCAGTGGGAGCGCCAGATGCTCATCACCTCTGAAAATCAGGCCACTTATTTAGGTACAGGTTTCAGAGTGGTAGCCGTGTCAGTCTATATCAGCAAAAAGAACGAGAAGTACTTGTGGCACCTTAGAGACTAACAAATTTATTTGAGCGTAAGCTTTCGTGGGCTATTATTCAACAAAAAAAAAACTTCAAAAACAGACTTCAACGAGAAACTGCAAAATGGACATCATTAAATTAGGCTTGAATAAAGACTGGGAGTGGATGAGTCATTACACAAACTATAAACTATTTCCCCATGCTTAATTTCCCCCCTATTGTTACTCCCACCTTCTTGTCAACTGTTTGAAATGGGCCATCCTGATTATCAAAACAAAAGTTTTTTTTTCTCCTGCTGATAATATCCCGCATTAATCGATTAGTCTCATTGGAGTTGGTATGGCAACCCCCATTTTTTCATGTTCTCTGTGAATATCTTCCTATTGTATTTTTCACTGCATGCATCTGATGAAGTGGGCTTTATCCCACGAAAGCTTATGCTCAAATAAATTTGTTAGTCTCTAAGGTGCCACAAATACTCCTCGTTCTTTTTATTTAGGTACCTTATTATTGTCTTAGGTGTATAACTTTAGTCACACTGAATACTAGAAATATCTACAGTGTTGCGGTTGAGGAGGGAAATGGGTAAAATGTGATAGTGTTTACCCTTTACTGTGTTCTTTTAGAGCAGAGGCTTTACAGGGTAGCTACTTATTTCTGCTACAGAAACTGTTACTCCTAACATAAGCTTCCACATAGGCATTTACTATTAGAAAATCAAGTTAATCTATTTAAGGTTGTGTGCAACAAATCCGTGGGAATTAAAATACCACTAGAGCCAAATTTTCAAAGGGACGTTCTCCTGGCCTCCAACTTTGCTTACAGTATAATCCAGTTTATCAGTTTGTCTATTTCCTTGTCCATTAAAATTCAGACACAAAAATGCCAACAGACAAAATCTCTGGCCTGTAAAATGTTCAGCTTCAACAAATTATAATTTAATTCAACAAGGACTCAGTCCAGATTCTAAATCTGCACATGCAGTGTTGGGCATGCCCATTTTGGCAAATGTGAACAGCATGTGTGTGTGCACATAGGGTAGTTAAATGTCTCACAATCCAGTGTCTGAGTGTAAATGAAGGTTTTTAGTGTGCGAAAACTTGCAAGTGCAAATTTAGAAGCCATTTTAGCAGCTGGCATTTCACAGAGCACAGAAATGTCATGCACCAATGTACAGAAATGTATAATATTTCCTATAAAGTCAGCATACACAGGTATTCATCATAAGATAGAGAGGAAAACATTGCTTACCTGCAATATTGACAGAAGAAACAAATGCAGCTAGTAAGGCTAATGTTTGAGGCAAGCTAGAAGGAAGGTAAGATCCACCCATTAAAACCAAACCTCCAACAGCAGTAAGACCTAAAGAAAACACAATAAATCAATACTTGATGACAAAATACATACAAAGAATTAATAAATAATTGATCTGCTGCAGAAAGGAAGAAACCAGCGAGAAGCTGCAGCCGGTAGGGGCAGAAGCAGCCAAAGCAGGGACCTCCCGCAATCCACAGAACTTTCTATGGTCTTGACTGGACTTTCTGTGCCCTTTTGCTCCCACCCTCTCCCAATTCTCCCTCGCAGTCTCTTCACCTCAACTTCTCTCCACACCTGCCTCTTGCTCTCTTCTCCCCTGCCCTTTTCCCTTCACCCTCTCTCCCCTCACCTTTCTCTCCATTTAGCTTATCGCCTCCTAACTACCCCCACCCCCAATGATTATGTCACTAACGTGATGTTTGCTGCCATCACACTGTTCACTCTGCTTGCATGTTCTAGCCCTTTCCCCACTCAGTGCCTGTCTGGTCTATTGAGACTGTAAACTCTTTGGGGCAGGGACTGTCTGCTACTCTGTGTTTGAACAGTGCCAGCACAGTGGGGCCCAACCTAAAATAACCTAAAAATCATGATTAGTAAATAATATCAGTAGAGTATTGCTAAGGTTATTACCACATGAAATCCATCACATTTAGATAGTATTGCATCTCACTTCTTCAGGAAGCTGAGTGAAGACACATTTCGATAATCTTAGCTGTGGTCTAGGTTCCAAGAAATTCAGTTTTTGCCCAGCTATGAAGGTACAGCACACTACTTGTAAGATCACTATTATACTATTATTCATCATTCACACCGTGCAGGGTGTGTGCTAGGTGCTTTGCAGGCATGTAGGAATACACACACTCTCTATAGTCAAGGGGCTAGACTGTGCCTTGAACCCACAGGGCCATTTGGGGGGGAAGTAGGGAGTGGCCAATGGAAACTAGGGGTTGTGCCTTCCTTCCCAGAGCTCCCAGGTGTGCAGGAGAAGGGTCCCGATTGGATAAGGCACCATGCTCCCCTCTCAGTACCCTGTAGCAGGGAGAGGCTCCAGCAGTAGGTCACTACACTGCTAAAAACTCCAGTGTAGAAGAGGGAGTCATGGCTTGGGTGTATAGAGAGTCATGTAGGGTATGGCTCGGGCATGTCTTTACTCACCTAAACAGTGCCTCACCATCTACATGGCTATTTGTACCTGTGCTGTGGGATGTGTGCGTGGCGTGCAATAGGTACTCTATACTTTGACATAAGGAGGATGCAGTGTAGACCTATCCTATAAGAGAAGAGTCTCTATACTTCCTCCCCGCCAAGAGTAGGGATTATAGTAGTACCAGACTCCTTGCGTTCTCCCCCTACACACACAGCTATAAAAGGGCCAGGTACAAGCTGGCCCCTACACAGATCAAAGCGAGAAAAAGGATGTGGAAAGGAATAGAGCCTACAATGTGCCTTATACAGTGATGCTAGGCATACCCACTTCTTGTAATTGCCATGATTTGTGTGACATTCTTCCCCATCCTATCATCCCTCACACAGATATTTATATCTGTTATACAACTGTAATAGCCAATAGATTGGCTTTATCTTTAAAAGGGATGGTTCTCATTCAGCCCTTGGGCTGTGTGATTCTAGTGGGTTCTCTGTGGGGAACTTCACTGGGGATATAAGTAAAAACTAAAGGTAGAACTGCCTAGAGCACTGAGCAAGGATTTGAGAGGCAGGAACTCCTGACTTCGAATCCCAGTTATAACAGTAACTCACTCTCTGGCCTTGGGTAAGTCACTTACCCCCTTTGTGTCTCAGTTTCCCCATCTGTATAAGTGTCCCAGCAGAGATTTTGACCCTAAATCTCTCATAACAAAACACACAAGAGAAGAAAGGAGTGCACTTACCAGAAATTGCATTTGTTACTGACATGAGGGGTGAATGCAGGGCTGGTGTGACACCCCAGACAGTATGATAGCCAACGAGTCCAGCGAGACCGAATGTGGTCACCATTTGAGTAAAAGCAGCATTAGGAGAAATAAGCCCCAATCCTAAAACACCTGTCAAGCCTAAAAAGAAAAGCACATGCTCAGAAGAATAAAAAAGGCACTTTTCTTTATTAGTTGTAAAATGAAAACAGAGCAAGATCCCAACCCTGTTCCAATGAAGCTTTGACATCAATGGGAGCAGGAGAAGGCTCCTAGACATGCGTTTATATGCATAACTTTTACTCCTTGTTTCTGCCAGAACTAAACCTTGCCTAGAGTAGAATTCAGTTCACCAATTTATCTGTTCCAGCCTTAGGATCCAGAGCTGGAGATGCCAACAATAAAAATCTCTGAAATGCAAAATACTTAGCTTGAGCAAAGCAAAGCAGAATAGTTGATCAAAAAAAGCAAAATGAAAAATGGCATTGATTCTCCAATGACGTCTCACAACCTTCAGTGCTCTAATAGGAAAACAGATCACAGTGTAGCAGCTGTATATTATTGAAACAAGCAGACCACACAAACATTTCAACAATATTCCACTGGTAGAAACTCTATTATCTCCTTCAGTACAATATTTGTCTTCTTGGCCATACAAACTCAAATTTCAAAAATTGTTTTTCCTCTAAGAAAAGAGTGCACCATCGTGACAGATACATGGCTGAAATATATATATATATATATATATTTACTGAGGGTCAGTTTCTGCCCCATTCTGTAGCACTTTACTACTTACAAAGACCCAGTACAATCAATTGGACCACCCTCTGAGCAGAGTAGTACTCGTGAGGAAGGGTGACAGAATCTGGCTCTTAGTGGGGAAGTGTCAATTTTTGAAGTGCTAACCAGCCTGAGAAGATTTTATTGAAGTATTTAAACTTGCATTTGGCAGCATTAATCAAAGAAAACAGATCTCCAGAGTGGGATAATAAAGTGATTATACTCCAAGGACAGTATGCAGTAATGAAGTTATCTACAAGCTGATTACCCAGTGATGGCAAAACCACTGTGATGACGCCGTGTGGGAGGTTTTTTGGATCCCACACAAGGATGGAATTAGGGAAGATTTGCTAAATGAAAGCAAGTTCTTAGATCTTCCTCCACCCCCACCCCTTTAAAATCCATTTTCTCCACTGCCAGAAAATCCTGTTCCTTGGACTAATGGCTACTCCTTTTGTTGTTCATTTATCTGGCATAAGATTTCAGAAGGTGAACAGCCCTCACAAAGGTGTGTTAAAATGTCCTGTCATCACTTACATTAAAGATGATTTTTATATTAATTCTACCCTTGTTCTTTTTAAAGAAACTTAATAAAGACAGAATAATGCAATGCTGTTTATGAGTGAAAACATTACTAGTTAAAATCAAAACTTTGTTATCTGTTTTATTTTCCATTTTAACACAGTATTTTTCAAAGTATAATAACCAGAGCACTGGCAATGACATTTGGGAATATATAGTGCATTAAAAGACAGATCCCAAACTCTTTGAAGTTAGAGTCATTCATATCAATGGGCTTTGGATATGGCCCATACATGATATAATATTGTCTCTTTATTATATATGCAGTTACTAGCAGGGCAAGTTTCTTGGTTATGCAAAGTATGGAATGATTTAACATAAAACACCAGAAAACTAACCTATACCTTACTACCATTTCCCCATTTTCTAGCCTCTCATTCACATGGAAAGTAACCTAAGTTAGCAGATCATTTAACCTTTTCTGCTTCTTCTCAGTATTAAGACACTGTGCATAGCTCCAGTTCAGGAGTTGGTTTTATTTGCATGTAAATACAACTTATTCCTAGCAAGACATGTTTAAATGCCATGCAGATTGAAGGAAATGCAAACAAAATGGATTGTGCAGCCAAATATTTCTTGGTGAATAATTTTTACCTGCTGTGTAAACTCCAGCTGATGTCATGGTTTTTCTGAATGGTGAGATGGAGGCTTTTTTCTCAGATTCTAGTTCTTGCACAGTTTTTTGTTTAGCAGGGACAGAAGGTGGCATTGTTCTTGGTAAAGGTGCTGGAAATAAATTCTTACCTTCCTGTGACAGAACAAGACAATGACTATGATGGATTCCTGTGGCATCTTGCCCTCCATTATATTAGGGTCGGATCCTATGACATATACTCATAGGAGTTGGCTCAGTGAAGGCACACGGATTACTCAGATGAGTAAAGATACAGGATTTGGCCTTTATTTTTTATTACACTGATGAAGGAGCACAGATAACTTTATTACAAAGATCCTGGTTTTAATAAATTAGAATTTTTTAAATCTATCTTTTAATTAAATAACCGTAGGGCTGCAAATTAGCATTGATTGCTGCATTCAGTTGGTAGTGAAAAGCACCTTTGGCCTCTCCAGCCCCGTGAGTTGCAGCATAGCATCTGGCCTGGTATCTTTTAGGTCTATTACATTTCTCTCTAACAACTCCTCTGACACACATTAGTTTCAGCCTGCCAATATTTAATTATTGTGCATGACTATGTTTTGGTCTAATGATACCTGAAGGCAGATATGGATCCTTGTAAATTCACCTTATCAACAGAAATACTCCTTACTCTACATTCCATCCAAAATAAACATCCTTGCAAAAAAAAAATCAGTCTAGCCAAAGAAATTTCTCTTGTTTGGAAAAAATCTCAGCCAACACACAAATGACTTAATTGTCATTTCATTGCCTGTTCAGTTTCCTTGCCCCTTCTCCCTCAGTGACAGGGGCAGCAGATTTATGAAAGGATGGTGATTTCTGCTACTAAGATAGACTCTGGAGGATGTTATGGGGCAGTTGTATGGGGTTGCAGTCTATCCCATTTTCCTTCCCATACACTGAGGGTTGAACGCTACTCCTTCAGAAGAATATTACTGTCTTAAGCAACAGTGCCCTTGTTCCTCCCACACTGATGTGACTGCATCGCAGAAACATCCTCCAGTCAATAAAGAAGCCTTCCAATGTTAACACTAACCAACATTATTTCAAGAACCATGCATAGCTCACACTTCCACCCACCCATCTCACTCCTTGGCTGAATACATCCTCTCATGTTCCCAGCACATATTGATCCCAGAGCAAGAAACCTCATCTGACACTTGAATTCATCTCTCCCAAATCACTGAGCTAATGGATCAATCCTCAGTCTTGAATTCTTATTTTTTGAATCCCAAATCGATGGCACAGCTTTCATTTGAGACTTTTATTAATCTATATTTTGCCCCTAAATATCTCAGTGCTAGCAACATTTAAAATATAAACTGCCTGCATTGCACCATTATGAATATTACAAGATCTAGCCATTGAGATGATTTCCTGGATTGGCTAACAGGACCATTTATGTCCTACCTAATACATTTTTATACCCATTTATCAGCAATTTAAAAATGAGTTTAAAACTCACCTTCATTACCATGGTTCCTCTAATGACATGATCAATAGTCCCATAATCAAAATTATCTTTTGGCTCAAAATGAAAATATTCTTTGTCAGGAGAAATAGCTTTTAATAATTTCAAGATGTTGTTGGAATACAGGCTACTGGCCTGAGTTGCCATTCTACTTGGCAAATCTGTATAACCAATGTGAACCACACCCTGGTGAGAAAGAAAAATAAATGTATGTCAAACCTTTTCATGTATTATCTTGAAAACTTTTCATGTGTTCTCCACAGACCTGATGCATATTTTACAAATGCTTATAAATCAAATTCACATATTACTGCAGACACTTCTTTCCAACGCTTTGTTTTACAAGTTAAGGGCTCTCTTTTAAAACTAATAGCTTACTCTGATGTCTGAACAAAAAAAAACAAAAAAATCAGCAATTTTGTCAGCAAGCCAGAAACCGAACAAGCTGGGAGGCCAGTTGGGGAACCATATGGTGCTTATTTTGAGAATAAGAAGTCAAGCGCTTTTTAAAGTTTGAAAACACCTTTTGTTTGTCTGATAAAGATCACATTGCACAATATGTTTCCCAGGTTAACTGCACTCCAATTAGTTCCAAAAGGAAGATATGGTTTTAGATACCTTCATTTTCTATTCTTTGCAAACACACAGAAGAGGATAAAATTTCCTTACCAACATCTCACAGTATTAAAGCTTAAGTTTGTGGACTATTGAAAATAAAATAATTCTAAGCCTATACTCTCAAAACAACTGCATATGCTGTACCTTGGATGCTGTGCCCTAAATTCTTGGGGGGGTTTCCTTTTAATTTATCCTCATTATAACGCATTCCATTATTAGCCATCTGGATTGTGCAGCTGCCAGCTTATCCCATATGTAGCCACAGGTGCTGGCTCCAACACACGTTCAGGAGTAAGGCAAAGGATATAATATTCAAGTATGGCAACCACAGACAATATCAGTGCAAGTTAATACTGAAACACCATAGCTGGAACTGCTCTTTGCAGCTGACTTTCCAGAACACAGCCCCATCCTACTAGCCCCTGTCTAGAATATTGTGGAGGCTCTAATGATGCTATTAAGGCTCTATGCCCCATTTCAATTGTTCATTTAGTATATCCCATCCTAACAGCTTGCACAGCCATTGGCTCCTACAGGGGGCTTTGTGTGCCTCCCCTGCAGTGAAGCCACAGTGACCCCTAGTGGCTTCAAACGTCAGTTCCTTTCAAAGACAAAGGTACAAAATTCTGAAGTTTGGGAAAAATTAGAAAGGATTACAGAGAGACCTCATCTCTGATGGGAGGTTGGCAGGGAATAGTGGTCTATCATTGCTCTCTGTTCAGAGAACAATTACACATCAAGAATGTTATCTTCTTCAAGAATATTTGTTGTTATAGTTCAGGACTCTAAAGCTACTGCTGGAGTTAATGGTTTTGGAACTAGTTAGGGTGGAAAATTAGATGAACAGCTGTAACACTGCATGTAACATTCATAGTGTTCATACAGTCCCCAATATCTGAAACCCTACAGTAAGCAGTTATGGGATATCCTGCTCCCAGGGAAAGCTTCCTCTTAATCAACAGAAAGATATTGGCTAAAGCCCTAAGCTCTGTGTGTTTGCCTGCTGGATCTTCATTCCCTACTTCAGCTTCTCATTACCATGAGTAGAGAGCTGCCCCTCCTTTACATTTTTATCTTTTCAAACAGTTGTCCTTATATGTTTGTAAAGAGGCAGGCAGGCCTCACACTCCTGATGATACCTGAGGAAACAAAGCAACACCAACTACAGCTTGAGCACTAGGGCTGTGCATGGTTGGACAGTAGTCCAGCCAAGGAGACTAGACCACAGGGGAGAATGGGGTCTTGGAGTACCCAAACTACAACTCCCATGAGGTCCACAGCCCTTCAGGCAGATACAGATTAATCTTCAGCTGATCCAAAACAAAACATTTCAATTCAGTTCAACAAAGTGAAATACTTTCATTTAGAACAACCTGACCCAAAAATGAAATATTTTATTTTGTTTCAATTTTCCTGATGGAAAATCAAAACATTTCAGCAAGATCTAAATTGTCAGAGGGGAAATATTGATTTTGCAGATACCACATTTTCCATCAAAAATTATTTGGATGGAAAATCCCAACCAGTCCTATTAAGCACAGGACTGGGAGATAAACCCAAGTGAGTAACCCAAACCAGGCCCAACCAGCAGCTGGTTTAAAGTACCTGTAGGTCTTATTATAAGCCTTAGATAAACTCAAAGGATGCACAGATGGAAGGGAAGTCAGGTAGGCCAGCCTGGAGAGTCCAGCGGCACAGGTAGGCAAAGTTCTAAATTCTAAATTCTAAACTCTCAGAATTTTATCATGCGTCTCATGATATTTAGCATATTTCGTAGAGCCCCAGCTGCTAGAACCATGTTGCAACTAGAGTCTCAGCTTTCACTGAAAAAAGTAAGTTTCTAACCCTCATGGCTGCAGAGAAACACTTGAAAACATGAACCCTAAATGTTCCAACACCAGGAGGCAAATAAAAAACCCTCAATATTTAATATTTTTACACATCATTATTTTTGGAGCCTGACTCCATGATTTTTGTAGTCTTGGGGCTGGCCATACTGGGAAGCGGAAGATAGTTATGGAAAAGTGCCCTAATCTGGTCCTTTGTAACAATTCAGATTAAATATATGTTTTAGCAACAGACAAATAATTACACCTTTATATCATTTTACAGTTCTACATTGTACAGATGAAATCAAACTTCATCTAAGAATGGCAATTGTCTATGTTAAAATTGACAGTTCAGTATTGTTAAATAGTGAAATTGACCATTGTTAGTTTTATAAGTGATTAAATAAAATGAACCTCTAAGTCAAATTTCCTTTGCTTTTACTATACTTGGACTTTGGACAGCTCCACCGTTTTGTTAGTAAAGCTCTGGGGATGAATTTAAGGGCATTTATGAATACGGTTATTAAAAACACTGTAACCATGCTTATAAAAATCACAAAGCATAAAATCTTCAAAGATGGAATGGTGTCTGGACAGTATTCCAATTTGTGGTTTCATTACTTGTGAAGTGAAAGACTCTGCTTTATTATCCTGCCACACAATAGTAAGTATTCATGACAGACATGGGCTTCAAGGAAACATGGCCAGTGCTTTGTTACTAGAATGTTTATTACTTTTTAGTTTCTTCAGACAATTGCAATATTGTTTCAATTTTATATGCACTTCAACCATTTCTAATAAGCGTTGACTTTTATTCTACAGACCTCGTGAATATAAAGCTCTCCAGGATGAGTCGTTTCCACATTGCCACCAGCCTCAGATGCAAGATCCACAATTACCGATCCATCCTTCATTGACTCTACCATATTCTTTGTGATTAGGATTGGGGCTTTTTTCCCTATTGCAAATTAAAAAATAAAAGTAAAAATCTCCTAATTGTTATCATTGTATACAGCAAGATTCTACCACAGAAACTGAAGATGTGCAAGGAAAACATCTAGTATATTGTGGGTGCTACTGGAAATAAATAATAAAATACTAATCATACTAAACCTAGACAATTCAAAAGAAGCCATTCTAATCCATGAAATAAATATTAACTGGAGCCCAAACCTGAAGCCCTTATTCATCCATAATTGCTATTGATTGTCGAACTGTATTCATATCACTAATCTGGAAATGTTTATAGGAACAAATATTTAAGTCTGCAATAATCATAAAGCTGCACTTTACCTGGTATAAGGGCAGTACTAATAAGAATATCCACCTCTTTACACTGTTTGGCAAATAATGCCATTTCCGCTTCAATAAATTCTTTGGACATTTCTTTTGCATAGCCTCCAACACCTTCTCCAGTTTCAGCAATATTCACTTCGAGAGGTTCTGCTCCAAGGGATTTAAACTGCTCCAGTGCTGGCAGCCTGCATGCAAAGTACAGAGATGACAGGTATTGGATTATTGCAGTTTGCTATTTTATCAAGGCAGGCAATGATTACATTACCAGTTGCAAGATGACAGCAGTTCACAAACTCTGTTACATTAATTTACAGCAAAGAAAAACAACATAGGCTCTAATTTTGCATGAGCGAAGCTCTGCACCAAAGCAGAGCCATACTGAATTCAGGGTTTCTGGTTCTCCTCTCAGGATCCTGGACATAATTACTAAGCGGTATCTTAGCTTCTTCTAAACTTTCTCATTGAACCAAGACTTCAAGAACTTAATAAACTACCAGTGAATTGGAAAAAATCAGTTATATATCATACGCAGCTGTACTATTAGGCTTTTTCCATATCTAAATGCATTATCTTGCAAGTGGGATTTTGATCCAAACTAGACCTTGGACTTGAATGCAGCCAACTTGAATGTGCATAAGCCTGGCGCACATGTGCAAGCAGGGAATTTATGTACCAGTATACCCATACCGCATGTGTTCATTGGCTCTTCTGCGTGCTCACTTCACCGTCTTACACCAGAGATGAATTTTAGTTTCAAAGGGAATTTCACGGATGTAACCAAGAGCAGGATTTTGCCCAGGATGTTTTATACAAACCTAAGTACAGTATTTTAGAATCTAAACTGATATTTTCTTACCCTACCTGGTAGGGTTTGACACCTACCTGGTGTCAAATCCCCTGACAATGGCTCCCATTGCTCTGGCAGCTCCCGCAGCAGCAAGCCCAGCCACGCCACCACCAATTATCAACATCTAGAGAGATCAAACACATGGAGAGTGAGCAAAGTGTATTCTGTGTCCTACCCCCACTCCATGCCCCGTGTATTATATCCCTTATCTTCAAAAGCACTTGAAGTTACAAGAGCATCTGATGCTACTAAATGTAAGTACTTCAAGGAAGTTTCAAACCTTATCACAACTATGTAAGTACGTAAATAACCACCTGCACAAGGTGTGATATATACAAAATAAGATCAGGTAGAAAATGGTTAGCTATTTAAACCCTTAAGTGAAACAAAACATCAATAGGGCTAATCTTCCTACACCAGCAGGACTCAAATGTTCACTCTGGAGCATTGGTAGTGGAGGAAATAGGCCTGATTTAATCAGCTATTTAAATGCTTTGCTCTGTTATAGTCTGGCTTTTCCCCAGATGGATGTTATAGACCAGGGGCAGGCAAACTTTTTGGCCTGAAGGCCACATTGGGGTTCCGAAATTGTATGGAGGGCCGGTTAGGGGAGGCTGTGCCTCCCCAAACAGCCAGGTGTGGCCTGGCCCCGGCCCCATATATGACACCGCCTCCCCCCCCACCCCCCCGCGTCTCACCCCCTAACGGCTCCTGCCCCATCCAACCCACCATGTTCCCTGTTCCCTGACCAGGGCCGGCTCCAGGGTTTTGGTCGCCCCAAGCAGCCAAACAAACAAACAAAAAAGCAGAGATCGCGATCTGCGTCGGCAATTCAGCGGAAGGTCCTTCGCTCCGAGCAGGAGTGAGGGATCGTCTGCCGAATTGCTGTCAAACAGCTGGACCTGCCACCCCTCTCCGAACTGGCCACCCCAAGCTCCTGCTTGGTAAGCTGGTGCCTGGAGCCGGCCCTGTCCCTGACGCCCCCCGGGACATCCACCCCTCCCTGTCCCCTGACCACACCCGGACCCTCCACCCCTGACTGCCCCTCACCACCCCATCCAACCCCTCCTCTCATTCCTGACTGCCCCTGACCCCTGCCCCCATTCAACCCTCCTGTTCCCCGTCGTCTGACTGCCACAACCCCTATCCACACCCCCGCCCCTTGACCACCACCCCGAACTCTCCTGCTCCCTTACCGTGCTGCCTGGAGCACCAGTGGCTGGGGCACTACAGCTGCACCACCCAGAGCACCAGGACAGGCAGCTGCGCTGTCCAGCTGGAGCCAGCCACGCCACCGTGCAGCACAGAGCACCGGGTCAGGCTGGGCTCTGCAGCTGCACTGCCCACCAGGAACTCGCAGTCCTGCTGCCCAGAGCATTGCGCCGGCGGCGCAGTGAGCTGAAGCTACGGGGGAGGGGGAACAGCAGGGGAGGAGCCCAGGGCTAACCTCCCGGGCTAGGAGCTCCGGGGACGGGCAGGAGGGTCCCACGGGCCGGATGTGGCCCATGGGCCGTAGTTTACCCACCTCTGTTATAGATACAATTCTGCCCTCAGAATGTAATGTAAACTTCAACTCCTACTGAAATGGTATCAGTCCCTTGGTGAATAACATATTCTGTTGGGGGATTATTTTCCTTAAACAAACAAACACACAAACCTCTCATGAATATCTGTCTCTAGGTGCGATGTGATTAAATGCATTTGTGGCACTTAAATGATTTCATAGGATCAAACATTTGCCAAAATGCTTCGAAAAGCCAAGTTAGAACAGAACTGGGGCCAAGTTCTCCTCTAAGGCCATATCTACTCTACGGCACCTTACAGCGGCATAGTTGTGCCGCTACAGCAGTGCAGCTGTAAGGTACACAGTGTAGTCACTCTTTGTCAACAGAAGACAAAATAGAACCACCCCCAACGAGGAGCGGTAGCTTTGTTGGTGGGAGATCTTCCCCCAACAATAAAGTGCTGTCCACACTGGTGCTTTTTGTCGGTAAAACTTTTGTCAGTCAGGGGGGAGAGCTCCTATCCACACAGAAAAAGTGGACCCAGTGCACCACCCTCACATGGGATTGCTGTGAACAATCCGCACGGCAGCCATCCAGCTCTGGAAGTGCCCCTGTTTCTGTGACGTTGTGCAGTCTATATGGTTTTATAAAAATATGGTAGTGAGTGAATATAATGTAACTGGAATATGCTTCATGCAAAAGGTCTCTTGTAAGGTATCATTACAAAGCTTATAATCTACTGAGTGTGATCATCCTATTTGTATAAGTGTACCATTCTTGTATCTGGAACCAGAAATATAAAATAGAACTCTGAGGGCCTATTGTAATTATGCAAAGTGTGGGCCATTAATGGTGGTTTGGAATCTTGATGACTCCCATTAAACAGGACCATTGTCTGTAGATGGCTTTGTTTTACCTGCGAGTCTTCCTGTATATGTGTGTGCTGGCAAGTGGCTAATGAAGTCTTGCAGTGACATGTGATCATGTCACCTGAACTGAAATCCATCTTTAACCTGGTGCTTTTTCAGTGGGGGGAGGGGTGGAAACCCAGAGGGACAAAGGGTTCCCACCTTATGCAAAAGATATATAAAGGAGTGGAACAGAACAAAGGGAGGGAGAGGAGAGGAGCCATCATGAAGAATCCCCTAGCTACCACCTGAGCTGGAACAAGAGCTGTACCAGGGGAAAGAATTGTGCCCAGGCCTGGAAGGTGTCCAGTCTGAGGAAAAAACTTACTTAAGCAGCTCTAAGGGTGAGATTATCTGTATTGATTAGACATAGATTTGTGCATTTTATTTTATTTTGCTTGGTGACTTACTTTGTTTTGTCTGTTACTACTTGGAACCACTTAAATCCTACTTTCTGTATTTAATAAAATCACTTTTTACTTAGTAATGAACTCAGAGTATGTATTAATACCTGGGGGAGCAAACAACTTTGCGTATCTCTCTATCAGTGTTATAGAGTGTGAATAATTTATGAGTTTACCATGCATAAGCTTTATAGAGGGTAAAATGGATTTATTTGGGTTTAGACCCCATTGGGAATTGGGCATCTGAGTGCTAAAGACAAGCACACTTCTGTGAGCTGTTTTCAGGTAAACCTGCAGCTTTGGGGCAAGTAATTCAAACCCTGGGTCTTTGTTGGAGCAGACGGGTGTGTCTGGCTCAGCAAGACAGGGTGCTGGAGTCCTGAGCTGGCAGGGAAAGCAGGGGGCAGAAGTAGTCTTGGCACATCGGGTGGCAGCTCCCAGGGGGGTTTCTGTGATTCAACTCGTCACAGTTTCCACCCAGCCCCCTTTGAGAAGGCTAGTACCTTAGGAAGTTCTAGTGGAGAGCAGTCTCTGCAATCTAGAGAGCTCAGGTACTGCAATTATATCTGGTCTCTGGGGCAGCAGGGGAGGGGACACATGGGGGGGGAAGGCTCCTTATGCCCCACCCACCCGTGTAAGGAACAGGTACAATCTGGCCCTAGTACAAATAAAGTTGCAACAAAGGGAACTGTAACGGCTATACCCTAGATTTCCTAGAAAGGTCATATGATGGAGTTGCACTCCCTGACTACACTGTCAGTCAGGACACTCAGTACAGAATTTTACTCCACACATCTCATCTGTACAATCCATACCTTTGCAGGAGGCACCTTTCCAGCTGCTGTTATCTGACCAGTAAAAAATCGACCAAAATGATTAGCTGCCAGGATTACAGCCTTGTACCTAGAAAATACAGATAAAAAAACATTGCAGCAATGCAGTAAAGCCTCTGCAGACAGAGCATAAGGATAACTATGCCAAAGGTATCATTAGGTACTGTCCCTTCCTGGGTACCAGACACAGCTGGGCCAAAACTCTTCAGACAAATATGCAAACCAAATCAATGACATAATTAATAGAAACCCCACAAAACAAACAACAGTTATTGAACATCTTAAACCAATACATCTGCTAAATGAAAAAATACATTCAGATGTCATAACAATTTATACCAGTGGTTTGTAACACTCTTTTAAAGTGAATGCCTGATGGAGGACTATTGGTGGGAAAGGAATGCGTACCAAGGGCGTGGGACTCATGGCATAAATAAAATGCTTATTATGGTTACAGTATTTTTACTTTTTTTGAAAAAACAGAACAAAACAAAAACCACCTCTGGGTGAAGCGGTAGTGTCTATGCTTTAATGGGCCTGGGCATATTGCATATTGCCTTGCAGGCAGAATGCAGGCCAAGCTATTGTTACTTCTAGAATGCTGAGCACAGGGGTTTCCTCGTTAAACAAATTAATCGGCGATCATTTAAACACTGCATGAAATGGAAAATGAGGCAAACAGCACACTTCCTTTCCAAAGGAAGTGTGTGTGCTGCACCCATAGTTATGGGTTTCCTTAACATTCTTTCATAACTTATCCTTCCTAATTAACTGCTGTTCAGAAAACCTCTCAACTTATTGTTCCTTGTTCAGAGAACACGAGGCGGCCCAGCAAACATTCATTAAAATGCTGTCCGTGGCTTCAAATTTTAGTTGCCTAGCAGTACTAACCAGCATGAAAGTGCCTAGTGTATCCTTGCTACATCAGCCATTACTTTCAGCAAAGATGGCCCCAAAGCAACTCCCCAGATCTGGATACCCATTATTAGCTTCAGGAAAGTTGTGATTAGGATCAGGATTCAAACGTGGAGACTCATCCACCACTAGCAGGGCTTGCATGATGCTGAATGCTTCCTAAGAGGTGCCGACTCCCTCAGCTCTCACAGAAGGAGCTCAGTACTTCTCAGAAAACCCTCAGCATCTTACAGGGTCGGGTCTGTAAGGTATGACCTCAATCCTAGGAGCCAGATGTGCCCAGACTTAAGGAAGTTTGGATCCAGTTTCAGATACAAAAAACTTTGTGGCTCAGACCCATCTTTAATCATTAGATGACTAAACTGGGAGAATGCACCTCAGAATGAAACCAACAAACAGCAGTCTATGATGGAATTTTTGCTTTAATTTTGAAACTGTTTCTCTTACTAACTATTGGAGGACAAAAGGAAGAGCAGTTGGCAGTTTTAGAATGTTGCAGCTTTCCAGTAACTCAAAAACGGCTTTTTGTAAACTAAAGATTTTCGGTCCACTATGGACTAGTTAGTGCTCTTTGGTATTTGGGGGTGAATGTGAAAAAGGCCAAACTACACAAAGGTTCATATGGTTTCACTGAGGCTCTTGGAGTGGCTGATCATGTGACAGCACCAACAAAACCTAAAGCAAACCTCCATGATTAGGCACAAATAAGTTATATTCAAAAACTAAGCATGGAACGGGAGAAACATCCAATTAGCCTAAAAGATTATTGAATACATGTGACCATCTCAAAGTCAGCAATCCAAATGTGCATTAAGTGCACACTGTGTAACCCTCTTGACTCCACTGGTGTGTAAGATGGCACAGAAGATGGCCCATTTTCAGTACCATGTGATACTGCAAAGGAGTTATTCTTGGGGAGAGCATCTCTAGAACTGAGTAAAAGAGTGGATGAAAGCTTGGCCCCCGGTGGCTTGAATGGAGTCAGGCTTTCACCCAATAAATAGACATGAAAGATCAGGGAGACTGAGACATGCTAATGCCCAAGGTAAGGAAGGGCAGGAAAATTGATCATATGAGATATGCCCACTGGATTCTAACAGATGGTCCCTGCTAAATGCTGCATGCATGTATGATGCCCATGAGCCAAATTCCGGTTTGACTTACACCCATTGAGAGCTGTGTTCAGCCCCCTTAAACTGTTCAATGTTTAAACTCAAAGCTGTCCTAAAAGAACCATCATGTACAATCCAGGCTTTTGTAGAAATTTCCCAAAGAATAACTTTTTATGTACATACTTTCTGTATTAGAGCAAAAATTGATCCTCCAGTGTGGAATGCTCTCTGTTCCCTTTTTGTGGTTGTGTGCTTCTTGTGAGTCTAAATATATTTTGGGCTTAGGGTAAATAAAGGGGTGGATGAACGTTCAAGACAAATATTTTAAGAGCAGGCTGTATAAAAATGAAGACATGTTTTGAGCCCTGTGTTAGTCTATTGGAGGGAAATCAGAGGATTTGACACTAGGTTAATTAAACAGTTTTACAGGCTAAAAGACAGAGATAGAGTGTGTGTAACAGGAAAATACTATTCATCTCTGTACCCTGATTGCTTAAATTTACCAGAGCTGTCAGCAAGACCTTTTAAAAAATATCCTCATGATGTTGTTTATGGCTCTGCAAAGACAAACAATATTGACTGTGCTGACATTATCATTGCTTGTAATTTTTTCCTCCTTAGCAGCATTGGAGCTGAATGCATGAGACGTGATTCATATAACCGCACTTCCCTCTGACGGCATAAGGAGAAAAATAGTGCACGTGGGATGAACCAGTGATGGAAATGAATAATTACAAAGTATTTCCTGTTACAATAAATGATGGAAAGTCCAGGGAGTCAGTAAAAGTGTCCAACTCATACCATGCTGGACATGACAAAAAACTCATGTGGCTGCATGACTCAGGTATGAATTGTGTTTGATTAACTTGACAGCTTGTTCTGTTTTCATTCAAACTGACACTTTTATCAGTTTGTCTCAGTGTTCACAAACATCAAATCAGTTCTGGTGCAAGGCAGGATGATTCAAGAGGGCCCGGAACTCATTCCTATGCCATTTTAAAGGGATTAGTATGCATTTCCCCACAGAGGGGTTGGCAAATCATGTTCCATTGAAGCCACTGTTCCTGGCAAATGCATCAGCTAGGCATCCTCTACTAGTTCTCTGGAGTGTATATTTTCCTATTCCATTACTGGTGCACAGAGGGTTGGAGTGGGGGTAAACCAACCTTTTTTGTAACCAGCACCATAGATGGGGTGCACTTGGAAAGTGGTCAGATCTGGGGTCTGATAACGGGATATGGGCTCTCTCTCTTTTTAATCATTGCTTTTAATCTGACCCAGACTGGCAAAAATTATCAGCACCCGATGGCTAGTCTGTGGTCTACATGAAGGAACCTGGATGATTATCTTCATCCATTTACAAATAAACAAGTGTCACAGAGAACAACAATCACTGCTGGGCATCATTGCTGGCCCTGACAGGAAAAGAGTAAAGGGTTGGAATGGCACAAAGATGTCACTCTTTTCTTGTCCCTAGAAGAATAATGATGTCAGTTTGGCACATCATTAGCTCTAAATGTTCTTTAAAATTCTTTAGGATTTAAAAAGAACAATTCTACCCTGTGGCAGGTACAGGTTTGGCACAATTTCCCATTGAAGTTTAGCTCATTGTTTACTCATCTACAGGGTATTTGAACAGCTGAGTCCTGGGAAGCGTTTTGAAGGAATATTCACCCAAGGGAAGAGAAAGAAAGAGTTATTTTGTTTTGTCTCTTTTTGGTATGGGATGCTCCATTCAGACATGTTGATAGCTAAATGTGAATTTAAGTGGGCCGAAATGTCTGACATAGTGATGACAACTCTTTAGAGTTTGCTCTATATTCCCAACAGAAGAGTATTTTCAGAGCTCCTGGGGACACAAAGAGGGAAGAACAAATGCATAATAGTTCCCTACTCAACGTTGCGGAAAACACTAAAATTAAAGGACTATATTCACTCAATACTTTTACAGGGGAATGCAATGATGTCATGGCTAATAGGCAGTGAGAAAGCTTGATCAAATATCTTCTGAATTAAATTTCAGCAGTGAGGAAGCCAGCAAATGGTGAGGAAAATTCCTCATCCAATGAAGCACTTAAATGTGTTTGGTATCTTTACCAAATTGATTCTGTTTGAGATTAATTGGTTCAGATTTTAAACCATTTCAATATGTAGCTTATGTATGTAAATAATTGGTCCAATGTTTAAACTAGTTTGTTGTGCTTTTTTTTTAACGAGTTCCTTACCTAAATCTAAATGACTTTGAAATCAGTTCCAAATCTGAATTGATTCCAAATGTGTCTATTGCTGAATGGCAATTGGTCTTGATGGCTTGGCTAGTAGCACAGTGTGATGCCATATAAGAGGGGGGTTCAAGACCAGCAGGGAGATGCTTGTGACTCAGGTTGTCAGAGGTTAAAAGCCTCTGTAATGGCGATATTTTCATATGGAATGCCCAGCTCATCCAGCCCCTAGTGTCAGTCCTCAGAGTAGCACAGCAACTTCAAAGATAATTTGAAGTGGTGGATATAAAACTAAGGAAAGTGAAGTTTACATATTCCTATCAATACACTTTCCATGCAAAGGATCTTGTGTTTCAGCTTTATTTGCGTGAAAGAGAATCATGGAAAAACAATAAAAACTGGTATGTTAAAGCTATGCCAAATATAAGAGCACATTTATCACAGAGTCAATGGTATTTAGAACCACATGTGTTACAGTGGATTGACTGAAATAAGTTTTCTTGCCCACCTGCAATAAGCACAGTTCTAAGATAATTTATGTATTGTCGATCTGAGACAGAAAGCAGCACCAGTTTTAAGGCACTGGCATTTACATAACACGGGAAACACACCATTCTAAAAGCTGTCGGTGTCCAAGCTGAAGTCCTCAAGGCCCTAAATCAGTAGTGTCCAACCTTCTTGGCCTGAGTGCCAGAATGTAAAGGGGCCATAATCAATACTTTGGGGCAGATTCTATACCCTTTGTACCTTGCTCCCTACAGTCCCTGGTAAAGAGGGCAGGCAAGTGATGGGAAGGGAGTATCTGGAGCAAATTGTGCTCCAGTTCCTCCTAGCTGGTGCATGGTCCCTTGAGGACCATATTCAGCTGGCACCGGTTACAGCAGACTGGGGGTTTGCTGCTCTAACCTCCGATAGGTCTGGGACGGAGAATCAGAGAACTGTAACTGGTTGCCAGCTGCTCCTCCTTTTCTCCTCTTCTGGACTGCCCTGGGTGTCTGTGGAGGAGAGAGGAGCCATAAGAGAGCTAGCCAAGCCCCTATCCTGTTCTTCTGGAGCTTCCATAGCCCAGCAGAGAAGCAGGCAATGGAGTAGCCAGCACTACTCTATCTTCCCTCTGCATCCAATAGAGAACATGGTTATGTAAAATCACATGTGTAGAATGGTGCTCACAGGAATAAATAGACACGTGGCTACACCGGATGCCTTCAATTACAAAAATGACATTCATGCAATAAAATTCGTATTCCATATCCTCACCCTGCAATGTTGGCCATCGAGCTTAAAGCATCATATCCTTGAGCAATAGTGACTCGAGGAACTTGGTCCATTGCCAAGACTGTGGCTTTGCGCTGAGCAAGTTTGCCTAGGAGATCTGGGTTCTGAGCAGGGTAGATAAAGCTGACAAGTGTTGCTTTCTCCTTGAGCAAAGAAGCCTCGTGCACTCCCAGCACTTCATTGAAACCTGGGGCTCTGACCTTAGACAGACACAAAACATACCACACATTTTACCTTTTTGATTAAAAGAAGTTCAGTCTGATGATTTAAATTAAGCTTTTGGAAACTGAATTTAGTATTAATAAAACACATTGAATCTTTTGTCTTAGGCCCCCATGTCCCTAATGCAGATCCCTGTGCCCTTGTGGAGTCCTATTTTCTAGAGCAGTGTTTCTCAACAACCAGTCCATGGACCGATGCTGGTCCCTGAGATCTCCCTGACACAGTTTAGGAAGGCAGCAAGGTGGTCCCTGGTATCAAAAAGGCTGAGAAACACTGGTCTAGAGGTAGCAGATCCTGATGAAGAACCAGGGCTTTAGATCAATGGTAGTAGACAAAAATGGGTTAAATGCATTTATGTCAAATACCCTTCATCCCATTGAGCAAGTAAGTGATTTACATTATCTGGGATGGAACAGAACGCCAACAATCATACCACAACTGATGTGAACTGGGGTATATATCGAGCAATATCAGAAACTTAACTCTCCCATCAAAAAACAGAAATACAATACATGCCTAATAGGTGTGAAGCAGTTATTGCTGCAAAAGCTGCTGCAAAAGTTGATACAAATATCGTACCAGCTATATTACTGGACACATATAAGGTTCTGTTTATCAGACGATTTAATGCCATAGATAAGTTATTCTATTGATTTGATTTCATGCTGAAATTCTGATTTTCTTAAAATCAAGAGTGTCTCTCTTCTGACTTTTGCATACTGTCATTGGAATAAATATATATGATTCATGTCAGATGCTAAACTTGCCTTTAAAACAATATCTGAGCCAAATACAGTTTTCAAGTCATTGATTTCTGCTCCAGCCGCTTTGTATTGCTCATCAGAAAACTTTGCTTCTTCACCAGCTCCATGTTCCACTTGCACATTAAAGCCTTGTTTAACTAAGGCCTGGACACCAGCAGGAGAGAGTGCCACTCGCTTCTCATTTTTGTATGTTTCTTTGGGGATACCCACAACTAGATCCTTGTAGCGAATTCCTAAGTAAAAATAAAGGAAAATTGTTATTTTTCCCAATTCATATTTGTTGGATTGTTGTTTGTGGAATAAAGGGGAGAGTTCCAAAGGCACAAAGGGTATTTCAGCAGCTAACTCCCAATGGAAGTCAATAGGACTGGAGTGCCCAACTCCATTAGGCACCTTAGAAATCCCAGCCCAAGGACCCAATCCTGAAGCCCTTTACTCCCGTGAGTAGACTTTATTGACACAAATAGTCCCAGTGAGAGACCTCAGGGGGAGTACTTGCATGAGGAAGGGTGACAGGGCTGGATCTGTGTTTTTTGTAACTGACACAGAATGCTACCAGATGAAACATTCTGCTGTTAACTTTTTTATAGTGCATCTTTCCACAGCCAGCCCACAGGGTCACACAAACACATTCATGGATGCCAAAAGGATAACAAATTAAAGTTTGGTTTATAAAAGCCTTGGCTGGGATACTGCTTACACAAGTTTTCGTGCTGTTTACTCTGAAAAAGGTGTGGAATTGACCACAACCAATGAAGTGACAACCTCAACTCCACTCACACATGAGGTGGAAAAACCAAAAACAAGACAGCGGCATTAGGAGAGGAAGCTTTGTTTTTCCTGGCTTCGTATGTGAGAGAACTGCGCTTGTTGACGAAGAGGCAAGGACATATTGTGAAACAGTCTAAGGGCTATCACTGTAGATTTTTAAGGGTCTGATCCAGCCAGCATTCACAGTAGTAGGTACAGTGCTCAATAAATACATGTTTTCAGAATCAGGCGATAAACTATCATCTATATAGTGCCCAATCCTGTTGCCACTAAGTCAATGGGAGTTTTTCCATTGACTTCAATGGAGCTAGACTGGGCCTTTTAAGGTTAAATTCCCACCATGTGGCAGTGGGGTGGGAGAGCAACACAAGGAATATGTATCACTTAAGTCCCACTTAAAGCCTCAAGACAGGATTTCAGTGGTGCAGGGAGCTGGTGCTGGTCCTATGCACAAGGGTGAATTTAATTCTTATGGCTCAATCCTGTAAGGTCCTGAACGCCAAGCCCCAGTGGGAGCTGAGTGCATGGATCACTTCAAAGGAAGCCCAGCGCCTTGCAGGGCTGAGCATTATGAGTCAAACCTTGGTCCCACTGAACACAATGACAAAAGTCCCAGTGACATCAGTGGGACCAAGCTCTGGCCCTAAGCTAGTTGACTACAGTAAAATCCTTTCCCCATTGCTCCCTCATCTTACATCAGTTGTGTTTCTGCAGCCTAGAACTCTTCCTTACAAATCATTCACATCAAAGCAGATCATACACGCTCATTGGGTTACATGGGGTTAATATGGTGCAATTCACTGAAACTTTGTGACCCCCACAATTTAACTGGTAATATGCAAGCTGTACATTAATAACTAATGTAGATGCACAAACTTAAACAGCAACAGAGGGTCCTGTGGCACCTTTAAGACTAACAGAAGTATTGGGAGCATAAGCTTTCGTGGGTAAGAACCTCACTTGCATCTGATGCCAGGGAGGGTCTTACCCCCGAAAGCCTATGCTCCCCAAACCTCTTTTTGGCTTTAAAGGGG